TCTTTTCTCTTCTCTCTTAAATTTGAATCTAAACACCGATGAATTTTAGCAAAAAAAGGGAAAAAGAGAAAAGGGAATGGAGTCATATTTAGATAAAATTCTTTTTTAAAAGGAAAAATTTGAATTAATTTTCTCGCTAAAAAATTCTTTTACACAGATGTCTTTTTTTCAGAACGAACCAAATGTTAATCCATTCAATTCTTCACGCTTTATCCATATATGTATCCAAGTCTGCATTTCAAGATATTCGCATTTAATGGGAATCTTTAAGTTTTCACAATGAAAAAATTTATAAAGGAATTCATTCACTAAATATTGGTGATTTTTAATCTCTAATCAAATAATGATAATAGTGATAATATATGAGAAAAATTTCATTAAATTCATTGGTACAAGTTTGATTGAACTATTCAAATGAAATAAAATTCTTTTTAAAAAATAAATAATTCAATTTGAAATTCTTTTAATTTACGCTTGAAACATTTATTAAAATAATTTTGCTGAAATGTTAATGAAATATATATAAAAAAAATTTTAGTTGGATTTTGAATGAATGATTTTAAAAAATATCGATTAATATGGCTAATTTTTTTGCTATTTAAAATCCATTTTTATGATTATCCATTATTATCCATTTTTATCTACTTTCGCCAATATTATATAAAAGACGAAGCAATTCATCGCAAATTCGTACAGATGCTATTCGATAATCAGATACTCAGATTTTGAAAGTATAAGTGGACCAGCAATATATAGACTTAGGTGGAAAAAGGCATCAGATCGCACAGCTTGGAAATGTCATACTTTTGAAGAACCAGTGGAAACAGCCTAACCAGCAACAGTGAGAACTGTTAGAAGAACAAGATAATACAATGTAAGATTAGTTTCAAAAACTAGTCTCACATTAAAACAAGTAATTAGATAATATCCGTGAAAGAAATCTTTTTTAAATTAAATTACCGAACGATATAGCTTGTACATCATCCTTAGCTAATGTTATACTATTTTGTAATTTTCTTTTTATTTCCTCTTTAAATTGTTAATTTCTCTTATATTTTCTTTTTTTATCATTATTATCATCTGTTATTTTAACTGTTATCATTAATACAAGGCGTTTCCCTGCTTGGCTGGTTTTCAATATTCAACATTCAAAATACTAATCTCTAAGCAAACCAACAATAGTACGAGCTGCTAGAAATGACTAACGATGACCTCTTCCAGTTAAGCATATAGATGGATCTAATAATTGAGTGATGAGCTATTTTACTATCTCGCGTTAGGTTCACTCTGTTGACGATTGTGTGAAATTTTTTACCAAAGAGATTGCGAAGAGAAGTGCAGGTGATTGGCAGAATTATCCTGATTTCTGAATGACAGATTTATTCGTGCCCTCAAGAACGATATTGCTATACTCATTACGATAATCCGATCAACCATCGCTTGGTTATCCTCTGAATGGACCTAGTAAATTTAAAAAACCTTATAAACTTTATCGATGGAATTATGTTGCAGTAGGAACATTAAATAAGTGACTAACGATAACCTCTTCCAGTTAAGCTCGTTCTGTTCACTGTTATTAATTGAAACAGTTATAGGAAATCATTTGGTCATAGAAGTAGAAATAGAAGGCTGCCAGTACCATCCAGGTTTTAATGACACGTTCAATTTTGTCGGAGGTAAGACAGCCAAGTGAAATTTAAAATAAGGATATTGCTTGATCAAAAATTTTTAGAGGTTACGTTAAAGAACAACATTAATAGTGGCTGATTGATATTAATGATTTAAAAGATAATGATAATTAAGACAAAAATTTCATATCGAGACATAGATAACTTTGCATAGATAACTAGTGTTTATCGATATGCTAATATATCTAAAAATATTCTAGTATTTTGAGATAATATTTTAATAGATAATATTTTGAGATCTTTTGAATCATATCCTGCATCATACTTTGCAAAAACTGATAGTTGCCAGAAGGAAAATCAGCTTTAATTTCTCAGAGCTTTGACTTTGTTTCAATTATGAAGAAAAAGAACGCAGAAATGTTTTAGAATTTATTTTAGTTCCTTCCTAACATTATTATTCAATAGCGGTGATTCTATAAAAAATTGAGAAACTGATTGGTTGCAGCAAATAAGCCAAAAATTATAATCAAAGATAAAAAGGATTCATGCTCACAGGGCATAATTTTTTGATCTTCCGATTCTGAATCATTAAATATCGTTGGCGCAGATTCGCAGTATCACGAAAACCGAATAGAAAGCAAAAAATTCACATTAATTTAAAAATTGATAATAAATTAGCCAATGATTTAATAAAAATTTTTTTATAATACATTGTTGATTGATTATGAATTGGACATTTCGTTTGGACATCTCAAACGATTATTCAGACGATAAGTTTTTTCTTAAAAGTTGTCCAGTTTTTTTCTGTAATTTTTTATTTTTCTTTTAATTTTTCCACTTCATCTTTGTTTTAACAGGATTAAACCTGGCATATCAAAAATTCGAGAGGTAGCTAGGGACCCACCTGTAACAATATCTCCAAATGACTCTATGGTGAAAGGATCTGATATTCTTGACACGTCATCCACGTCCTCCGAGGCGCATGATATTTCCATCTCGGTGGTGTATGCGATAAGGATACAATAAGGGCTAAAGCGATTTCAAGGTAAATAAAATATGTTTGCAAGGTAGGGGAATTGCTTGAAACTTGTCAAGGGGGACGACTCTCTGCACGCATGGCGATGTGTTAATTGTATCGGCGTGGAACATCACAAGCCAAGCGATTACTGTCTACACTCTTCTTAACTATCGTGTGGATGTCGCCTATTCATCGGAGGCCTATCTTTCTTCGAGTCTCGAATAATTACTAATCCTGGTTTGAAGCAGAAGAACTGGCTATATCACTGTGGTGTTTCGGATAACTCTGGGCGCAACGGATTGAAGGGTTTATAAAGGTTTTAAATTATATAGTCTATAGCAGCTTTCCCTGTATTCTGCAGAAATTTATCCAGAAATTTGTCCTGTATTTGTATTCGGTTACCACGATCTATTTATGACAGAATTTTCGTATTATGCTGCAAAAAAACGAGATGAGAATGGTAGGCTTGAAACAGAATGGCCCACATTTCAAAGCTTTCATTCATAGCGAGTTTATTCTACAATAAACTCGCAATAAACCTATTTTAGATGGTGCTGGCGATTCACCGCCAAGTGACTTATAAAATTTACATGGCTTGAAAATTCAGCGGATTGAGCATAACCAGCAGTGGTGGACGCTCTCTGAAAAAAAATAGGTTGCATATGAATTATAATTTTTTTCAAAAATATAATAGATTGGTTAATATTGTATTTTTTCAAAGTGCGTTATTTAGAGCAAACAATAATTTTTGTATGTATTAATATATTGGATGATATGCAATGATTTTGCATAAGAAGAATTTTTATTTTTTTGGATCCTAAATAATTAAAAATTTAGTTTAAAAAATCATATTGTAATTTGAAACATCTCGAAAAAAGCTTGGGAAACATTGTTCTATAGGATGTTGTTGCGCCATTGTTCCTACAATTATTATAATTTATATATAATAAGAGGAACAAATTAATTGGTAAAAATTGGTGAAATAAAAATATAAATTATTAATAAAACATATATAGGCATATTAGCCTAACATGCGTTAGTAGCAAGGTACTGGGAAGGTTGAATTTGAAGTTGTTTACTTATCTTGATGCCAATAATTTCATATCCTCCTATCAGCATGACTTTTGCACGAAAAAATCCACTTCTCCACAAATATTGGCAACAGTATCAGTAGTTCACCTAGATTCATATAATTCATAATATTAATTCAGAAAAATAAGCAAATAATTAGTTAGGCCTATTCCGCTCCCTTAATAAGATGAGAAATTTTTGCAAAGAATTTTCGCTTTGCAGAACAATTGCTTCCGATACCCAATTAGCGCATTTCTTACAAGCAAATCTTAGTGTGGAAATGGCTGAACTCCGAAGAACATTTTTTTGAGATATTTATTCGGTATTCATAACGGTATTCATCTACCCTTCCAGAGATGTCACCGATTTCATTTTACTGAGGTGCTAATAATTCAGTTTGAAATGCACTTAGTGTCCCCGATTCTTTTGGTTTGAGATAGTTTTAGAATCTTAAAAGAAAAGCGAATTATTATTTTTTTACGAGTTATTAGTTTTATTTGAACTTTGGCTCAAACTGTGATATGGTCTGGTCCACGAAAGTCTTAAAACCAGTTTTAGCATAGCGATAAGAACTCTTGCAACATCTGGTTGGAGTATTGGTTATGTGGGATGTTCCACGTGATTAGATATCTTCGCCATGCCCGAAACATGCATTAGTGACAAAAAGTTCATGCTTTCGGCAAATCGAAGAAAGCGTTCTCCATTGCTACACCATACCCCGATGCCAATTTGCCAATTATCGAGTTCATTGTGGCGGTATCGTCATTTTGACATTTTGCGCATTCCATTTTCTCCCGATTATGTTATTTCGGTAAAAAATTATATAACTGATACTCCGCATAGAACTTATCCTAGTCGTAGTCATATGCGCATAAAATTGCATAAAATTAGAGTCGGATATGATGATGACTGAAACGTATCTATGATTTTGAAATAATAGAGTCGGACAGGCTGAAGTGAATCTGTTGGCATTATCTGGTCCATAAAACTTTTTTGTAATTCTGCAGTCTTATAATGTTAAATTTTTGTAATTCTGCAGTCCTATAATATTAAATGAAGTATGGAAAAATTTTTGCCTATATCCTTCGTATCGTTCGTTATTCGATAACAATTACACAGTTATATAACTGAACTTTACACTAATATTGCTTAGCAAACCGGACAAATTAATATATTTAAATTTAGTCTATTTCAATTTCAATTTTTCAATTTCCATTTCAATTTTTTTTCTAAGAACGCCAACCATTTCTGGTTAGGCTTGTTGCATTTGCTAGGCCAGATAAATGTCACTTCGCGATGAATCGTCAACATTACCCGGAATTTCGACAAGTTCGCTTTTGCTCGAAATGAGAGCAACAGTCTATTGAACCATTCTATTTAAAGATTTGCTTTAGTGTTTCATGTGACCTGATTAACTGGAATCTGCCTCTCTGTTGAATCATTTGCCCATCAATAGCATCAATCGCTTAATTATCTAAATTTGGGTCAATATTTTGGTACAGCGTACCAGTGTATGCCATCTTGATTTCTTCATCATTTATTAGTACAATATAAACCAAATAATATCTCCATTCTTTTCTAATACCTTCTTCAATCTTGTTTTTGTAAATAATTGGTGAGAAATTTAACTAAATTTTAAGAATTATAAATTCTTTGAATACTGTAAGCTTAGAAAGTAACCTAGAAAGTAACCTATCAAGGTCCATAATAATCAATTAAGTAATTGTTGAATAATTAATTAAATAAGTAGTAATTGCTAGTAGGCACCATTTAAAGCAAAAACACCCTTTATTTTAAATCATAATTAAAAGCCATTTTTGAATTCCTTTAATAAATATGTTCGCTTTTTTGCCGCTCTAATTGAATTCGCAAAAATTATTTAAATTATTTTTTACCATCGCAGTTTTTTCTAAGTTTTTCTTTCAGTTTTTTAATGTTTATGTATCAAGTAAATAATATAAGAATTATCATTTATATTATATTATCGTCACAATTGTTCTTATATTTAGCTTGGCTATTTTGGCCAAACTGGCATAATTTAACCAGAAATAACTCGGAAGATTCGAGCAAAAGCAGATTATCGGTTTTTCAAAAGGTTCAAATCTTTCCGCAAGGAGGTGTACTATTATCTAATATTTTGTTGAACTAAGGCACTAATTGATGCAATATATATATAAATAATTGATCAGAACGGGCAGCTGTTTTCTACCTTAATAAATAACCAGTTCAGTCTGTTGGAGTCATTTTATTGGAAAAATAACTTAGATATGAAGGAAATTTTTTATTTAAATTTTAGGTGACGCATGACGCATGAAGACATCATAGGTTCTCAGTTCCGTCCTTATTCAAAAGTGAAATCCGAATAATATTTAGGACCCGCTCATATTTTTAATCTCCAAGTGACTCATACCAATAGGAAATAGAGCCAGCCAAACCAGAAGTGATCGCTGCTATTTGAAAAAGAGTAAAGGGGAAAATAAATATAAACATAATAAGAAAATTAATAAATTATTAAAATATATCTGACAGTATTTCCAAAAATAATGCATTGAAACGGCAGTGGAAAATTTTGGAATTTTGACTCAAAGGAGGTGATGTTCGTTTCGATCAACCTTGGTCGCTGCCACAAATCTCAGTCATTATGGATATTAATGAATTATCGACACAATCACAGCGATATCTCATCAGTAACTTCAGTTACAGTCCAGGTTGTACCACTTTAAAGATATGAAAAGATAAATCAATAAATCATTTAATTATATTGCTAATATTACCAATACAATATTTAAATTTTATTTTATCACAAATATTGCAAAAGAAATATTCTTATATGTATTATATATAAAATTCACAAATTCATTCATCAGATTTTAATTAAGGCAATTTAAGCCTAATTACCGACATTTTAATAAAAGTTTAAAAGTTTTAAAAATTTTCTCAATATTAATCCTTAATTTTGAGGTTTGGGCAATATAATGTTTCAATATGCAGCGATGAAATCTTTATCAATAAAATATAATGCTAGGATTATTTTACCGGAAAGCTGTAAACTGCGTCGGGCTTTTCAATTGAACGCTACCTATTTGTCGGATGATCTAACCGAATTGTTGATAAAAAACCTTGATAATCGAAAAATTGATTTCAAAGTTTCTTAATACTACAAGTAATTAACATAGAATGAAAATGAAATACTAAGGAAGAATAGAATAGAAGAAACCAATCAGTAACTAGAAAATTTAAAAAATCAATGAAATAATAAAAATTTATTTTCTAAATTTCTAAAATTTTTTAATATTAAAAAATTTTTTAAGTTTTTTAACACCATTTTTTTTAGAACAAAAAATTTTCTATGGTCCTTGTAAAACAGTTATATGCGTAACAACCCAGCCAAAGGCATCCTAGCAAGAGTAGGAGCCTCAACATGAGCCTTAAAATTACCCATTAAAATTACCTTGTTCATCTAAAAAATCGCATTTTATTTATCCTTTTTCTTAATTATGTTTTCAAAGATTTCGTAACAAAATTAAGTGGTAGTTTTTTTTTGAGAGCTCTCACCATTGCTGCTTAAACTAGCTCATTCTAGCTTTTCAGTCTAGAAAATATGCCAGGGAGTTCCTTGGTGATAAAAAATACAAGGATAATAAGCAGACCTTATTTATATTCGTCAGATTATATCGCAAAAATTAATATATAAGTTATCCAAAATAACGAAAAAAAATTGCTAGTTCGTTGAATCTGAAGATAATAAATAATTATTACCATACATAGTTAAGGAATGTTGCAAATATCAACAAGAATTAATGAATGGATTATTCTCAAATGCAAGTCAAAATATTGAATTATTGACGGGATATTTTCAAACTTTTCGGTATTTTCATCCAGAAGAGGTTATTTTCATTGATTTTGAAAGAAAAAATCTATCATCGAAATGCATCGATTTTGAAATATATTTTTATGCAAAAATAATGCCAGATTCTTGAATCGTTTTAATGAATTATGGCTACTAGCAAAATAATAAAATAGAAGAGAATATTTAAAGGAAAAAAGGATAAGAGAGGAATTTACTTTTTTGCCAGAAATAAAAAAGAAAGCAGAAAGATATTTGCAGTTGGCCAAATCAGAAAGGCTTAATTATAAAAAAGGTTAATTTTTGTATTCATGACTTTCTACCTGTAAAATTAACGGCTAGTTTGCAGTTCCATTGATGACTAAAGCAGAAGAATAGAGTTATATGAATAGAGTGGATAGAGTCATATGAGGATAGAGCTATAAGTGAGCCTCGAGTACTTAGCCTTTTTCGCTTTTGATTACAGGTTTAATCCTGATAAAAGGCAGGAACAAGTGTTGCTTGCCTTCAACTGAAGCAACATACGTGTCCATCGAGCATAATAAGGAAAACAAGTAACCAGGCTTGCTTCACTTAACTAATAGAATGATTCTATCTTGGAGAACTTAATCTATTTTCTAAAGCCTATAGAAATACAGATGGGTTTTTATTTACTACTGCTGTCAAAGACGAGGAGCGAATCGAGATATTTTAGATGAGAACTTAAACAATGCTCTCTTCTATTGTATCCGCTAAATGAGTTCGTAGCGCATGATGAACCAAATATGCAAAGCAATCGCGCATCGAACCTGTACCTAATACCTGATGGTTCGAGTTCGGCAAATTCCACACACAACCAAACAAGCACCAGGGGATAGAATGGCTCAGTGAATTGTTGCTCGCCGATGCTGGGTTCGATTCCTCGCAGGAGTAAACCGGGTGATGCTGGCGACTCACCTGTATTTCTATCGCCAAGAGGCTCCCTGGCATATTACTCAATATGACAAGCCAGTGGAATGAGTTTAACCAGTAATGGTGAGGACTCTCTAATTATTCATTATTGCATCCGTTAAATGGAAAGTGATTTGCGTTAATCGTTTCAGATCTAATTTTAACTTCTTAAAAGCAATACTCTCCAAAAAAACAATTTTTAGATAAAAATAATAATTATGTATTTATTGGAGTTCATGTGCGTCATGGTATTGATATTACGATGAATAGTCGAAATTATTTACATGGACATATTGCCGCAAACCCGCGATATTTTTCACATGCAATGGATTATTATCGGTTTACAAACTTTTACAACTTTTTTTGAATTTATTAAAAATTTTTATCTCACAAGTCAATATTAAAGTCTTTTTTTGAATATGAAAATAAGTTATTGAAACTAGAAAAAATATATTTTTAATGATTTATTAACCAGCGATTTCTCGGAGTTCACAAATTTTTTTTTCAGCAATTAAATTTTTTTTAGTAAATGAATAAAATTTCAAAAAGGAAGCTCAGAAAAGCGGCAGTGGTACTTGCCTTAATGAAATATTAACGTTTTAACTGTTTATTTTCTCTTTTTCAGAACAAAGTACAGAAATTTAATATTTATGATAAGTAGCGACAATGAATATTGGACAAAAAAATATATTAAAGGAAGAGAAGAAGGTTTCTATTTTTTGAATATTTATTACAAATAAATAAATATAAATATGAAAATAAATATTTAAGTACGTTTTTGGTCTATTTCTATAATAGTAGAAAAATTTACAGAGATGAAATATCAAAGGGTCGAATTATAAAAATTTTCGACTTTGGGTGAAAAGATTTGTAAATATTCCATTCCCATTGGGCCACATAAACACTATAGAATACAAATTCACGAATAATAAAAGAAAAGAAATCTGAAAAAGGAGTATAAACATAATAAATGATGAATAGAGCTTATGGCTTGGAAAATCAAATTTATGCATAAAATTTGTTGTTCACTATTCTCTTATTGATGATAATTGGATACGGTGATTTTTTTCAAAAATAATTATACGTCGTAACAATAGGTTACAGGCTGCAGACGAATTATAACGATTTTTGAAGTGAACAAATTTATACTTCTAAATTTTCTCGGTTTTAAGAAAAAAAACCTAATCTTTGCTACTGATTCTTTCTTAACCTTCTTTCAAGAGCATTCTAAACTTCTAGTTTGGCTCACTCCGCTGATTATAAGGATAAAATAAGAGGTAAGTGAAAAATAAATATCCTCTCACCAGCGATGGCTAGAACTACCGGAGAGTCAAAAAAAAAATTGTAACTCGAAATTCACCTCTAATGATATTCTTGCTTTTGTCCATGATCGCTTGGCTTTAACCGAAGCAAAAAGCACTTGATAATCTTATTGTCGTGAGTTATTTTTTAACTATGAAGAGATCAAGAAAAATAAGAATCTACAGGGAATTCAGACTGAGATTTCCCGAGAAAGAAAGATGTACAGGCCGAGATTTTTGCGAATAAATTATATTAAAAAATTATATTGCTAATTAAAAAATTTTTCTTAAAAAAAGTAGAAAATTAAGATGGTTTATGAAAAAATGCTTTATCGTATTTGAATAAAAATATTAATAATATTTACGAATTAAATTCTTGACGAAATGCAAGCGAATCGTATAATCTGAACCAGTTGATTTTATGGACATTCCGAAACTTTATTGTATGGATAGTTCATGGTTCAGCACATGCATCTGCCAGCAGTAAACTTACTTTTTAAATAATTACGACTGGTGTTACCGATTCACCTATCTCCCAGTGACTCTGTGGCAAAAATACTATAGTAGTAAATGGAACGAGTCTAATCGAAAATGTAATGAGCCAAACTTAATCGAGAAATAATTTGATATGGAACCGTCAAGCTTTGGTTATTTTTTATAAATCATTAAAAATTCAGTGTTGAATTTCTAAAATCACATTATAGGTGAAGTATTCATTCTTTCCACGGGTTATCGAGAAGTTGATTTGGCTGTTTTATCGGTCTGCGAACATATAATAATGAGTACAGGAACATTTTCATGGTGGGCAGCATATTTGGCTGGTGGCAGCGCTATATATTACAAAAATTGGCCAGCGAATGGTTCAATTTTGGAAAAAATGGTCGAGAAAAAAGATTATTTTCTGGAAAATTGGATGCCAATGTCTTAAAATTAGATTTCATGCATTAAAAGCATTATATTTAATTTAGGACCAACTTTGTAATTTATAAAACGGTATTCTGTAGATCATATCTTTACACACCATAGTTGCACAGACCCTATTTGCTTTTGCATATTTTAAAAGTCTTACCACCTGTATTTTTATCTCTTTAGCAAAAATGAGGCATACTATCTATTAACCGTTATAATCATTGATTAACGGTGATAGTGGAAATTGCTGATATTATTTCTTAAAAATCGCATTTGCTTTTAAAAAGCTTTTGAATAAATGTTTGAAATCTTATTACAAGGAGCAGGACTCGAAGACCGTCTAGTACCATCATAAAAATGTTTCTAAACAAAATCTAAATCTAAAAGCTTCAGTGCAATCATTTGCATGAATGCTCGTTGTTAAAACTCGCTTATATGACAATAAGCACTTAAATTTTAATAAATTTGTTTGTTAATTAATAAATACAATTAGCAAATTTTATGAAAATTCCACATTTTTAAAAATTGTTTTGAGTGTTTCATCAAAAAGTTTGTTTAATTAATGGCGTATTTGTTTTTAATAGTAACTAATGATAAAAAAATTTGTAAAAATAAAGAACAAAATTTGAATCGAATATAATTATATTTGAATAATGAATTTACTAAAAAAACAAAAAAGTTAAAAGCATCCAAAAGCATTTTAATCTTATAGCTATTAGGGCCAATATAGCAAGCGACCATGTGCTGCTGCCCTGGGAGAAGAGAATGTTAAAAGCACGCAATAATCAAATTTGACATCATTCAATTTTTTTTATAATAATATCTTTTATCCTTTATAATCATAATTTATTATAATGTAAAAATAAAATAAAATTTTTACACGGAATATATATTATGACGATAAATCCAAATCTATACTTTTAATTATCCTAATGATTTAATTGAGGATGCTTTTACATTCCCGAGTGAATATCTTCTAATTGATCATGTTATCATTATGCTATGGATTATTTGTTTTGAGGACATGCAAATTTCTTTTTGATCATAAAAGGAATTTTTTATTTAAAAAGTATGTATGAATAGCAATAACGACAGCAGCACGGCAGGACAGAAATTGCTATTGGAGCCATATAGCCTTGAATAGGTGATAATAGGAAATTGTTTCCGAGAAAGAGTCAGTGAAATGATACAGAATGGGGCGCCTGTTAAGGCCATTAAGAATCGCTTCATAAGATGGAAAGAATTTTTTGAGGCTAAACTTAACCACGATGCGACATCTGTTGTTCCGGATATAACTGTTCCTTGTCGAACCACACATCTGCAAGTGCGAACCGCCAACAGAAGAGGAAATAAGTTCTGTAATTCATAAGCTTGAGGCCAATAGAATTCCCGAAGAAGATAGTCTCGGGCTGAACTGAATTTTTCAAATATTGACGATCGTCTTTCATAACGTGCCTTCAATAAATGTACTCTCTAGTATGAAAACAAAAAATATTACCAGATGATTGGAGCAAAACTCACAATTCTCAAGAAAGATGACAGGACGTACTGTTGCAATTACCAATCAGGAATCAGCCTACTAGACATTTTCGGAAAAATTTTCGCTTCTCTTCTGCTAAATGGACTACACGAGATAACAGAAATGTGTCCTAACTGATTGATCAGATGCGGGACGCGGCTGTGCTAAACAGATATTTACGCTAAGAAGGGTGTTGGAACATTGCTTCAAATACCAGCAATTCAACTGTGCGAAAGATTTTTTTTAAAGAGTTTTCATCATTACCGGTTAGATTCGCTTCGCTGGCTTGTCGCATTGGACAAATATGCCAGAGAATTCCTTGACGATAGAAATACAGGTGAGCCACCAGCATCATCCGGATTTTTGGACAGGTTTGCTAGAACCTTAGTATTGGCGCCCTGAATTGAGCAACAACCGACTAAGCCATCCTATCCCCCAATCTACCGTGCGATAGACTGGATAATGGGCATCGCTTGTCGGCATTCAAGAGGTCTACAAATCATTCCAGAGCCTAGCATCACAGACCTTGAATACGCTGATGATATAGCCCTTTTTGCTGTCATTTATAATGAAATGCAAATAATGTTAAACAATCAAGAACTATAGCAAGAATTGGACTCAAAATTAATGTAAATAAAACGAAAATATTTTCGCCTTATATACAAGATGCTGATAAAATATCATTTTTTATCAATTCATTGCCGGTTGAGGAAGTGGCTGACTTTAAATATCTTTGATTCACTCTAATCCCAAATAGCCAGGCAAAGGATGAAATTGTAACCCAGACAATGAATAGTTAGAAATATATTTTTCCGATTGATGAGAAACCTTTATAAAACCGTAGCGAAATCACATAAAGACGAAAATTCCGCGTCCACATAGCTGCGATTCGTTCGATCTTGCTATATGGCTGTGAAACATGGCCAATGAGAATGGAAGATATTAAGAAGCTATTAGTCTTTGTCCACTCATGTCTAAGGTACATTCTACAGATCCGCCATGCGGATAAAATCGCACATGATTGTATCTACTTTCGCTCAAATGCAAACTACATTAATAATATTATCATTAATAATGTTGCCTTCGCTGGCTCGGCCACGTTCTTCGTCGTCCACCACAGGGAGTTGACGCATATTTCGTTACTTGACGATGGAAAAACCATGTGATGGATGGTGTAAAAAGCGAGGGCCAATCAAGAGCTGGACTGATGCAGCCAGGAAAGATTTTGAACGTATAGTGGGATTAGCGATATATGGACTTAGACGATGGAAATAAATGTGCATAAAATAACTGAATGATCATAATTTAGCTGAGATTGGCTCAAGTGCTGAGTTTTCGGAGATATGAGCCGGAACAAATGAAATGCTTTTTCCAGAAAAGATCTGCACTTACCTCTTACATTTCCCTTTGCATAATCCTTTTCATCTCGTGTAAAATTTTAAAATTTTTTTTACATTTCTCTGTCATTTTCAGTTTGTATTCAGTTGTTTGTTACTGGATGTATTAATTGCCAATTGTTAATTGGTCGTTTATTTTATAACGATTTTTTTATTTTTGTGAAGTAAATGCTTTAAAAACATATATCCTAAGAACGTCACCATCTATATACAAACCTTGATAAACCTTGATAAACCTTCTTCCAACAATACTGAAGATTTCTGGTTCTGGTAGCGCAACTGGCAGTAAGACTTTTCAGCCAGATAGCTGTGAAAAATAACGAATTAATGAAAGTATAGACGAGCACTAGCCAGGAAAAGCCCTCTGTAACTCTATAAACGGACATATGATGTCTTAGCTGAAACGGCCACTCGACCAGCCTTAAACCAGGCTTTATGCACGCACGACGAGCAACCTCTGCCATTTTTATCGTAATAATTCCACATTTGCGAATGCCTTCAGTTCTATAGTTCAGTTTTATATATTCATTTAGCAGTGAATTTAACGACAATTATTATGACGCATTTTAATGGCGTAAAATCTAAGTCTTCGTAATCGCTGTCAACGTCAACTTTGTTTCCTACGATTTCTTTTATTTCTGAATTGTTTCTACAGCGAAAACAAAGTTTTCGCCACTATTAAATGTTAGTTTACACAAAATTTTTTGGTTTTTTAGCAGATTTTATTTGTCGAACGTTGGATATTTACGCGTTTACACGTTTATGCGTTTCCGTTTAATAAGCGTTTTTCTCTTCAAAATTTCGCATGAAAATTCCAAAAACTGGAATTCCATTGCATTTGGTCTTTTTTTATAAAATTACCACTTTAACTGCAAAATTAGAAAACGTTATAAAAGTAAATATTATCAACACATTTAGTACCACAGAGATTGCAAATTGTTGGGCCGCGAGGCCGGGGCCGCGTTATCTGTCAAACTTGCAGCTCGATGACCATCGTTGCTCACTGGCCTTTGTGCGAGACCATTTATGTGGGTGATGGTGGGGGATGGTGGTTTATTGGGCCAGTTTGATGTTTAGCAGTGAAGTTCTCGTCTCGGTGGAGATATTTTCATTTTATAATTTATGGATCCCACTTTAAATAGAATTCTTTCTGCAAATTTATAAATCGAAAAATAATTAATAATAATTAATAATAATATTATTATTAATAAAAATAATTAATAATAGTATCCGATTGTAACATTATTAATTTTATCAAAATTTTCGTAGTCTTAACTATGGTATTACATTTTATTGTTTGTTATTAGGATTGATAACAAATCTGAATTCCTTTCACCAGATCAATTTAGAATTTGAGATATCTAATAATATTTTAATGGACCTTATCGAGTCCGATTATTCGGAAAAAGCAGTCTCGCCAACTTCTGAAAAACTTTATAATATACGTCCTCATTTTCTTCCTGTGATCATTTTGCATATAAAGAATCTTTCGAAAATTCCTTTTATGAATTTGTTATTTATTGTTCGTGAAGAAAATGTGATTCTGAATTCTGGAAATCTCTTTATTTTGGGATTGTTTTAAAAATAAAGTCCTAAGAACAAATTCTAAGATCCATTAATAATGCGATTGCGATTTTTCTGACGACATTGGTGCTTTTAATATATATTTTTCTAATTTTTAAATAAATATTTTCCTAGTATATTTTCAGAAACAATAATACTTCTCATAATTTTAAATTTCCTGAGCAGTATTCATATTAATTTATTAGGTGTTTACTTTTTGGTTGTGTCATCTTAAATTTTTTTATGTGAAGAACCAGTGGTGCACCGCAGATTTTATATAAGAAATGTGCATTAAAATTCTAATTTATCTTTTATAAAGTTTAAATTCTGGTCAAAATCCAATCGTCTTTTCTTATAAATTTGATCCTACTAATTATAACTGCATAGCTAATTTTCGTCTTGCCACACAGCTTATGCAAAAAATTATACAATTATAGGAAATCATACAATGGTTTCTAGTTAAATTATTTAATTTCCAGTTAAATAGTTTATTTTCATTATAAAGAAAGAAAAATGTCGGATACAGGTCGCAGTGGACGTGATACTGCAGGGCTTCGCCAACGCCGCAGAGCGCCAGCCTCAGGTTGGTATATCTTTAATATTTAATGGATAGATTTTTTTAGAGCACTCACCATCACTGGTTAGAGTCGCTCCTCTGACTGATCGCTCCAGACAAATATGGCAGGGATTCTTTGGCGATAAAAGAATGAGTTGCCAGCATTATTGCCAGCATTACCCGAATTTTTGAATAGGTTTACTCTTGTGAGGAATAAAACCAATGTAGAGATTAATATTTAATCAATAGCTTGTGGAGGCATTACTATTTAAACGTCCAGGTATTTCATCTCATCTCTTCATTTATGTTAGCAGTTAACAAAATCTTTTTTTATTAAGGTCTTGAATTTTCGCCTTTTTATTTCAGGTGGAGGACGAACAGCTCGTTCAGGAGTAAATAGCGGTGGTTTGTGGCGATTTTATACAGAAGATGCGACTGGAATAAAAATTGGTCCTGTTCCTGTACTCGTTATGAGTCTTGTTTTTATCGCTTCCGTATTTGTTCTACACATTTGGGGAAAATATACACGATCGCATCATTAATAATTTTAGCTTTAAATATATATATATATATATATATATATCGTAATCAGTCATTTTTGTTATATTTACTTGTATTAGTTTGTATATTTTACTTATATTTTATTTTTCCATATATTAGCGTATATAAAAAATGAAATTGTATGAACTCCTGGAATAATTTATAAAGCAAAAAATACAATAAATAACATTTTTCAATCAGTTTTTTGGATTTTTTAAAGAAAATATCTGATTTTGGCGAATCATAATGATAAAAAGTTGACGTTTTTTTCAAGATATGATTCCTCAGTATAAATTTAAAAATGAAAAAATATAAAAAGAAAATAAAAGAAGGGAAGTATCGATTGAATATATTTGGAAAAATAGAGGCCAATTTTCTCGGGAAATTCACGTTTTTTGGCTGTGAATTAAATTTTCAATAATCGACGGTCCAAACTTCACTGTTCCATTTTGAACGTTTGATGTTTCGTTCATATTTTTTGATCATTCTTTCAGCAAGTTTAACGTATTCTTTTTCGCATTCTTCTCTTACCTTTCCTGAAGAAATGGTTGACGTGGACAAATGTTGATTTATTTGTTGTAAACTTTCTTTAAAATTGAAATTCCGTAGTGTCAACCACTTTTGTCTTACAAATGGGGGACAGAATTTTCATTGCAGAAGTCGACCAAGTTACGGCCGAGCACAATAGAAAAAAAATCAAAAAATAGCGGAAAGCGGAGATCGGACGGGGACCGGGGACGGAGTTTGACAATTTTGAACAGTCAGATCCATACTTGCAGCAGAAAGTTCAAAATACCTCTTTGAGCCTTCCAAGCGTCATATTTTTTCGTTTCCCATTCATCGTTTACAGGAATTGCTAAATGTTTAAATATTTAAATTCGTAGCATAAGGAATCTCACTATTTCGATCAAGAAACGAGCTAATTTATGCTGTGAAAAACGTAAATGCAATATAATTGAAAAATCTTAAATAGCGCATCTAAGCGCATTTCGACAAAAAAGTTGTCGAAGATTAAATCGTTAAGCAATTGTTTTAGCACATAATTATACATTTTTTCCAACCTTTGGAATATTTCAATTATTTTATGTCTACGCAGAAAGAAAAAGGAATGAATTCTTTTCTTTCCCCCATTTTCTTAAAAGCACTCGCCATTGGATTACCTCACTAGACAAATATGCCAGAAAGTCTCCTTTTCGGGTAGCAACAGAAATACAGCTGAGTCGCCAGTATCACCGGATTCTTGAACTGGTTCAATTTTGCGGAAAACACTTTGCCCAGCATCGGCTCCCCGAACAACCCACTGAGCCATTCTACTTTTTTTTGCTTTTTCCGTTAGGCGACATTGCTACCCAAGAAGTGTGGTGCATCCGCCACATTCGAATCTTGGCACTTATATTTTTTGTCGATGTTTAATTGTTATGGCCTAATGCTTAATCCCTGAAGTAAGTATAGGAAATAGCATAGCTAAATGGTTGTTGCTTAATTTATCGCCTAGAATTTCAAGTCCAGATCCTACGTTCGACAGGAACAAAGTGTCCACGTGCCACTGGTGACTTGCTTTCATTTCTATTGTTTTCACTAATAACAACCGGCGGAGCGAGGCGGAAATAGAGAGCGTTAACCACTTATTTAAATATATACTAGTAATGAATGCGTACTATTAGAAGAAAAATAATAATGATGAGTGTGTATGAGTATTAAAGCATAATAATAATAACAGTAATTAATAATAGCAATAATAATAGCAATGTTTAAAATATAAAATATAAAAAAACATACGATAGTCGTCTTTAGGTGGAATATCTCCATGAACAGCTTGCTTATATAAACCATATAATTGAAGTTTTTCCTTCTCTTTCGGTTCCTTGGCTAAACGTCTCATTTCTTCTGCCGCAATATTAAAATCCAAATCCCACCACTTCTAATTTTGAAATAATTACTAAATTTCGAAATTTTTTTCTTAATCTTGACATCTGCTTCATTTGCCTTATTTCGATTGCATAATATTATTATTTAAAAGAAAATTTTATTTTTAGAGAATTTTTCAAAAACTGCTTAATTTTTATGAAGTTAAATTAAGTGAAAGAAGTAAAATAAAGATGGAACACTAATTAATTGAAAAAAATAATGATAAAAAATTACATTAAAATTGAGTTAAAAAATTTTTATAAGAAAAATTAGAAATAATTAAAAATAAACAAAATAAGACAAATCACCTTCGTCAGTTCGCTCAAAGGCATAGTTTTTTATCAAATTGAATGCATCAAACATATGCAAGCAACAATTTTATTGCGCTAATTATTTTCAACATTCATAATAATTATACTAATAACAAAACTAATAACACTGATTATTATATCTTTATATATATTTTTATATTTATATTATATTTTTACAAAAACTGGAATTTTGAGAAATTTTAGACACTGAAGTATGTGAAATCGCAACCACATATGTTATCTCCCAAATACTTCGATAATTTAGCGATAATCTAAATTTCTAAAGCAATCATTCCTTTCATATTAATTCCGATAATTTCAAGAAAAAAAGAAGGGTGATATTCCGTATTCGAATGATTCCCCCATAATGGGATAATAAAAATTCTAAAATTTTTTGATATTATTTATAAGTTATAAAAATTTATGAATGAAAAATTCAGTTCATCATTAGAATAGTTCTATTTAATTATCTCTACAACTGTGCGAATAATATAATCGTTTAAAATTTCTGAAACGGTTAGTTTTTCTAACTTCAACAATCTTTAAAATGAAAATTTAATAGCAGATTAATTTCGCAAGTATTCCAACCTAATAAGAGGGAACTTGAAATTGGACAATTTTTCATTTTCCTTTCCATCTTTATTGCACTAATTTCCACAAGTTGTTGTGCGGGGCATCTTGCGAATTCTTCGAATGTGAAGTTAAGTTTCCTGTTTATGTCGTAGGCAGTGTTATCTAATCGTTATCAGTTATTATTTATTGGATAGGCGGATTCTCGAAAAAACAAATATAATTTCATGGAATTAAACTGCGATATGCGATACGTAGATTCAATAAATAAACTTTTCAATTCAGTACTGACAAAGTGATAATGTAAAAATAGTACCACAATTGTAAATGGTATTTTTCAAGTACCACAATTTAAAGTAGTTTAAAAGCTTTTTTGAAGTTTGTTTTTTAAATTATAATTTATAGTTATTTTTCGTATCGAATAACTTCTCGAAATTATTGATTAGTCATTAAATTAGATTTATTATGATCATACGGTAATCAATCGAAATTGCGGATTCAAATTTATATTTTTGTATAAATTAATTTTTTAAAAGACTTTTAGAGACAGAGGATATACATTTGAACTGAGTTAAATTCATTCTTTTCGAGAGGAAATCGATAAATTCTGAAATTCTTTCTGACAAATGAACAGTCATATGTGAATGGAAACATTCAAATATCAATAGGTAAATATAAACAAAAAGTGAAAGGGCACTACACTGGTGGCTATACTGGCTGCAGTTAGAATAAAACTTTTACCAAGGAATCATTTGAAGATAGAAGTACATGTGAGCTCATTACTATGAGGGAGCAGGAGGGGTTGCCGAGACTACCTCGGGTGCTAAGATATAAACCTACGATAGGAATAAACATCATTTAAAAATGTGAGTGCTGCTAGTGATTGATCTGCTAGTGATTATGTCGTCGAGCGACATTTGCAAAAATTTCTCGTCGTATCAGTAGCCAGAATTTTGTAAATTTCTTGGCATTGGTATATTTCTGATTATTCGGTCAGTCTAATTATTTAAATGAAAAATAATACAAGATTTAATAAGAATCAAAAGTAGTAATAATGAAAATAAAAAGTAAATTTGTCAATAAATATAAAATCCGAGTGATGATGGTGATTTATTTATTTTTTTCGACCTCTGGTTTCCAACGATATAACGGTACCAGGATCAGCCGAAATAGTGCCTAACCCGAAATAGTGAACGTTTAACCATTTTCTTGCTAATTCAATTATTGAATTAAAAATTTTTCAATTTTTAAAGAATCTGTGATGGATGGCATCAAAAGCGAGGAGAATCAATCAGGTTTGCACCGATATAGTCAAAAGATTTTGAATTTATAGGTTGGCCAGTGACATAAAGCTTTAGACAATGGAAAAAGGAGTGGGCTTTTGTCATAGTGGAAAGGCATAGGATCGAACCGCTTGGAAGAAACATCTTACTCTGCAGCCAGCTCAATCGTTAATGATGAGGCTTTTTCTTCACGAAATATAATTTTCAAAAGAAGGATATTTTCGCTGAATGTTGGTCTTCTCTTTTTCTTCTAGTAAATCAATCCTTTTTTGGTTCTGCTACATGGCTAATGGCTATTTTCAAGAAATAAATTTTCCTTGTAGCTACTATGGTGAGACTCCCCCAGAGCATTACTGGCGATAGGGATAAATATACAGGCAAATCCTCAGTGTTAGCCGTATTTTATTTTTATTTTATGATAGTTTTGTGAGAAAGCTATAATGAAAAATTAAAGCGCATATCACTCGTCCACCCATCTTTTTTCCCATACAGCATAGTGTGGATGCCTAATGTGATTGCTGTGACGCGAATAACCGAAGTCACCGAAGCCGTGTATGCGTAATGAGATGCGTAAAGAAATGGCAAATTTGCCAACCGCTTTATCGCTTATATTTTCACCGTATTTCGAACCAGTAGAACATAGCAAAGATTTGTAAAACAATATTCACTAAAATGAATGTTGCAGGATTATATTTCTCGATTTATTTGAAAGAACCAAGTAGGGTGACAGGTGCGTTTCACTTGCATCAGCAACAAATGCAGTGCCAAGTGAAAAAAAATTACTTAAATCGATCGATATAAAGAACAAAAGAAGTGTGAAAAAGCTAATGATGTTAAGAAAAATAGTACAAGTAAAGTAAAGGGGAATTGCAGAATAATAATACAAGTCGGACTGAGCGTATTATTGATGCATAAGCGTATGATGAAAGGTTTCAGACCTCCTGCATAACATAAAGCTTTTAACGATAAAATGGGTTGCTTGATAGCTAACGAGCTACATCGTTCAGCAACCTATTCCAGTAATTAATGGTGCGAATAAAAGGGTCACACGCCCTTAGTTCACTTCGCATTTTGCGGTCATTGCCGTCAAATTTAGCCCATTAAATCTTGTGGGTTGAAATTTGACCTAAAATTGTAATGTTTGGAACAGCCTTATTTGAAATAATCACATAGCATTTACTTTTGAAATTTGAAATTGAATTGAATTGCGTAAATTGCTTAATTTCTCGAAAAATTTATTTCTCAACGGTCGAACAGCCTATGCGGCATATTTGATATAATATTTGGTATTATTTCCTGTGAGCTTAATTAAACTATATATTAACTATAAATTAAAAAGGAATTGTTGGATGAAAAAACCGTTTCATTGCTTTTGTATGTAAGTATATATTATCTATCTTGTTTGGTTATCATTTTCAAGGAGATAAATGAATGTCTTTGCTAAATCAATCCAAATAGTTTTGAGAAAAAAGTTAAACACAGCCAATCATTACTTTTATATAAAGATTTTCTTAAAAAGATTTCAAAGAATTTCTATATTTATCTAAAAAAATTTGCATAAATAAATTATTTATTTTCATGAAAAATACAAATAATATAACTAAAAACTTTTTTATATAATTATAGAATAAAAATAATAAAAATGAATTTGATCGGTAAATTAGTTTTCTTATTTCTTGAAATTTGAAATTTAAAACGGCAAAGATGGCTGGCAAATTTCTTATTTCGTTAAATTCGATTAATTCGATCAACTAAATAATGAAGAAATTAGATTTTTATGGAAAGGCCATAAACAAAAAATCGCAGATAAGTTTTTCAAATTTCACAAATTTCCATAAATTTATTAACATTTTTATTAACGCAAACGTAAGTTATCTGGTTTGATATTCTGCTAAATAAATAGTTGGAAAATTTAGAAAATTTAATTTTTTCTTAGCTTAATTATTGCCATGCTTGGGCATAGTATTTAAAATACATTTGTCGTTCTTTTAATGTAGGTATAATTAAATTATTTCCATGTATTGTCTTTGGCACAAAAATATCTGTCCTCTTGATTCTCAACAGAGATAGTAATTCTTGCAAAAGAGGCTTTCGCAGATAGATTATCAGAATATACATTGATAGCGCCTGAAAAAATAAAATAATCGAGTGATTATTGGTCAAAATGTTTCTATACCGCTTAATCATATCGAAATAATCAGTGCGGCTATCTTATTTGAAATTAAAATCTTCAGAAAAGCAAAAATTCACCTCAGTAGATATAGTAATGTTGAATATATTATCAAAAATAGCCTGTTCAATGGTCAGCTCAGCAATATAAGCCAAAAAATATATAAATACGCCAAGGAATGAATTGACCGTTAAGAATGCAATGATTATATTAAGCATCTTTGCCGTGCGAAAATTTTCGGATAATTGATAACGAGCGGATAATGAATGATTATTTCGCTGGCAACTCTGCTGTTGCAAATATTTGTCGTAATTTTTATAAGTAATACAATTGAATACTGAAAAAGCCTGAAATACTGCAATCGCGGTAATTAATTAAAAAATATAGTTTTCGATACGAGAAATTCAATTAATAAAGATTGAAGGTAGAACTAAAAAAACAATCATTAATTATTCAGTTATATTAATCATGGAACATATTTTCATTAAAAGTTACTGTTTCTTAAAAGTTACTTAAAAGTATTAAAAGTTACATATCTATTTCACATTTTAAAAATTGGAATTTTGAAGCACTTTGATTTTTAAATTACTTTAGAAAAAGAGGAAGGAAGAAATTATTTCTTAGTCATACGGTTGCTGAAGAATTAAAAACAAGTTAGAATATTACGACTATTTGTAACACAAATATATGTTAAGATACATCAAATACTGAAACAAACCGCTAATGATATGATATAAGATGCAACAACAGCAGCAACATTGAAAACATGTGAAAATAAACCTAAAAACAAAAACTGTAAGCAATACTTTGCATGAGTAGTTCACCAAAAAATCATTATGCCAGTATGATTTTTAAACATTTCTTTTTTTTGTGAAGTAAGTCAATCTTAGAGTCGAATTTCGAAAAGCTAATTTTAATTTTTTAAATTTCGACATTACTTTCACTTTTAGGTTCTTTTTTTATCACCGTCAGAAAATTATCACTAGTGAATGGAAATTTGGCGAAAAAAATTGCCATTGGATAATTTAATTTCGAATAGCAAATATCGAGTAGCAATTTAATGTTTAATTATTTTTATAATTTCGTAATTCATAATTGTTTTTTATAATTTTATTGCGAAGTATGATTTTATATTTCTGCATTTTTCTCCACCCACATACGCTATCTAGGAATTGTAATAGTTACAAACTTATTCGACAAAAAATTTTTATTTAAAAACTTACCAATATAAGAAATGTAAACGGAGCAGAATGATACGAACCACTGAAAAGTTTTCAATTTATTACCTTTCTCATGGCTTTTTTTGCCGAATAGAGTCATAGAATTAATTATTAACTGTTAATTCCTTCATGATGCAAAGTTTCAATAAATAAAGTGGGATAAGAATAAGAAAAATTTTTTGTCTTAAAAATTAAAAATGTCTTAAAAATTTTTAAAAGAATTGATGAATACCTGTATACTAATAGAAATTAAAGCCAAGTATGGAATATTGCCACACCAATATTCATATTTAAGAAATAAAACTGTTGCAAATATACGCTCTATCATGAGTAGTAATAAGTTCGTAGCCAATGTGAATAAAACTGAAATATTAAATCACACAAGGATTATGGGAGCTACACGTGAGAGGGTCACATGGACACGGAGGTATAGATGGACAGCCATCATTACTTAGATTATTAGGATATACATTACATAAATTTGGCTCAGGTCAACTTTCGAATTCTTGCGTATATTTTATCATTTTTTATATTTAACAATCTTTAAAGTGAGAAAATTTATCATTTCTGACCATGTAAACTCGGTTCGCTGAATTTACGGTTAAAAATTTTTGCGAAGTCTGGTGATAGATATGCAAGCAAGCCGGCAACGCCAGCTAGATATTTATGACAAGTCTAATCCTTTCGAGACAAAACCCTTAGCTCTCAACGCGATTAAATGAACCATTATACATTCGATCCCATAATTATTTGACCCCCCTCCCTCTTTAGATCCGCAATTTTCAAATAAAAAAATTTCGTACCAGTACTAGTCAATAAAATAAGCAAATTTCGATTATTCTCTTTCTGCTGATTTATTTTATTACTTAATTTTTCAATTATATGCAATATTTCGTATAATTCGATTGTTATTCCATGATTGATAAAAATTACATTTAGATTCTTATGAAATGCCTGAAACATCTAAGATAAATTTTGAAACATAAATTCTTAAACAAATATCTTTCAATTCTTCCTTCTTGAATTAGCTTTAAGCATTAGGAGAATATTTCACCAGAGAGTTACTTGGCTATAGAAGTCCAGACCTTCGATAGATTCTATTAGTGCTAAAATAAGATAAGATATTTTCAGGCATTAATATATAAACTGCTTTCATCTTAATTCATTTTTGGCTGAATCGTGTTAATTTCACATTAATCTTTTATTTTTATTTTTGTTCAGCTGTAAAAATAGTTGGGGTATTCATTATATATGGACGATTCTAGTCCAACCTCTAAAGTAATATGTACAGTAACTTTTTGTAAGAAAAAGATTCCTTGGTTCAATTAAGATAAATGTATCGTCAAATTCAAGAATTAACTATAAATCTTATAGAACAGGGAAAAATTATTACTTTTTTTTTCACCAGTACGGTTAAAAATAATATTGTTGAAATACTAGTCATAATAATAGTTAATATATCGATAATTTCAGTGGCAATAAACCAGTATGACATTATTATTATTAAATTATAGAATTAAATTTATTGCAAGTATTCAAAAATCAAAAAACAATACAATGTTGTAAATCCACGATTAATAAATAGAAATCCACGATTAATAAAGCGGCAAATTGCTTTTATTTGGATTTAACAAATCTTTAAATTGCCGATGGAAATAACTTATCTGAAGAATTTAAATATTTAAAATTCCTCAATTAGTTATTGGAAGCCTAGCATTTTTACGATTTATTCTTGCTTTACTCAATTAGCGAATGAATAAATCTTAATCCATTAACTTGTTATTATTCTAACTTAATTATTACCTTGGAAGGTGCCTTTATTATTATTAGGGGGACATTTTCAAACCGCAAATTATGATTTCACATAATTATTTGGATTTTCTCGAAATGGATTTTGCATTTTGTATCGTTCTACGCCTTTTCTACGCTTTCGGTGGGAATCAAAATGATTTAATAACCTAAAAATATAATGAATAATTCAAAAATTAAAGTTCAAGGCCGGATGGTGAAAAAAGCTGCAAATATGAGCAGGTACAATATAGCTTCTATTTTGAGAGGATTAAAAACCATAAATCTTCCTGTCCATCTCAAATTAAATATAAGCTCTCAAAAGATCATTTTTGGCATTTTAAGCTTCTGTTGGGAATATGAGTGGGGAGCAACAGGTGAACTGGGCTTTTACTTGCTATATTATTTTCCTTTGCAATAGGACAACAAAATTACTAAGTTTAAAACGGATTTAAAAAGTTTGAGGGTTCACAACGAGATAATAAAGAAGAGAACGTTTGCCGCAAAATTTATAATATTGTTGAGAAATGAAGGTTCTGGGTGGCAGGAAATTTATCAAATCTATATAGAACACAGTGGAGCGGATTCCCGAAGAAAAAGGAAAGTAGATATTGGAAATAGGATCGCCGCGCTTCCACCCAAAATTTCGTATTGCCAAGTTTTCTGTACAACAACCTTGTACATAAGGAATATATAGGAAATGGAATAGTAGTAGTTAGCATAATACACTGCATCAACTGAATGCATTGCCCATTAACCGTTTCAACGATAATCAGTAATTACTTTCTTTTTTCACCTGTTTCTATTCTAATTACTTCACGAATTACAATAATTACAATAAAAATGAAAAAAAAAATTGCACAAATAGCATGAAATCCACAAAAAGGACAGAAATTTATCACATATCAGCAATACAAATAGGTAATTTTAAACTTGGCATCCTTGATGTAATCCTTTAATGAGCAACTTTCGCCACAGTTCTTTTGAAACGGCAGATTAAGAAAATTAAAAAAATTGTCAAAGATTCAACTTTTATTAGCTTAATGTGAAATGCTCTGATAATATGTTACTTCTGCTGAGAAGTAAGCACCATAGGCCCGATTATTGTCCCTTTATGAAATTCAGCAAGTGAAATCTGAATGGCCCTCAATAACCACTTATACTTTCATCTTCAAGTCATATCAGACTTAAAGGCTCAAATACATAAGGCTTACCGCAGTGGATTTTGGAACCTTGCAACACAGTTAATCAATTAACGTACACCATTTTTATGCTAATTTTTTGCTGGAATCACTCAGGGGGAAGGAAGGAAGCTCAAAGCTCTCCAAAAAGATTTTTTAATATATTTTTTAATGATAGCTTTATTCATGCAATAAGCAATATCCGAATTCTACGATTTGAAGCCATAATCTAAGAAATGACCATTCAGCGAACCCATTCCTTTTCAGCAATATTCCACCAAGATATATTTTCCCGACATTTTTTAAAAAATCTTTGAATTATATAATTCCGACGAATTTAAGGTAAAACTGCTTTAACAAGATGAGAACATAAAAGTTCCAAAGGCACTCCATATACCATCAAACGCAAATGTATAAAATTCAGTAAACTCGTAAAATTCGTAAAATTAAAATTTCTTAGAAACACAGAATATGACTAAATAAATGAAATGCAAGCCTCAAATCCTTCATAGACTTTAAAGAAATAGTTTTTAACAAAGATTTTAGGTGAAAGAAGAAGACACCATATACCAGATTCCCACAACGGAAAAAGAGCTGATTCTATAGCATCATCTGTTTCTCATGCACCTTGTATCCACGAGGTAAAATCGCACTCGAATAGCAATAGCAAATAGCAAAAAGTGAATAGACATGATTCTACCTGTAAAACCACATAATACTAGGAAGACACACAACTGTATATATCTTTATCAGTACCATAAGACCTTTTGTAACCAAATAACAAATTTCTGACCTAATTTCGTCAAAAAAAAACGCTACAAATTCGATGAGAAAAAAATAAGCATCAACCATTCCATTAAATCAATACCGATATATATGCCATTGCGAATGAATAGCAATTTTCAAAGCACACAGAAGGTTATAAGTAAATTCAATTTAATTTTCAATTATGAGTAAGATAACGGGGAGTGGCACTAAATTTAGCATAGCCTTTAATCACTTTATTAACTGCCTCGAGAAAATCTTTTTCTGTTGCAAGCTTCCGTCGAGCTCGAATAGCAAACATCCCAGCTTCTGTACACACACTTCGGATTTCTGCCCCTATAATCTTATTTAATTTTATTTAACAATTGAATAAAAACATAACTAATAAAGCTTAATCTAAGCTTTCTCGATCACAAAATGAGGAGCCAACTTTCAAGCCAATAAGATATCAGAATACATTTAGGAGCTCATTCAAATCTCTAAAAGTACCAAAGACTTCAAAAATTTTCTATATAACAAGCTAATAAATTAAAAAACATAAAATAATGTTAACATACACATAAAACTGACCCGTACTATTGGGGCACAAACGAGCAAGCAGATCATATCTAATATCTCGTTCGACACTCATTTGTTTCGCATGAATCTTCAAGATGTGTGTTCGGCCAGCTAAATCAGGTAATGCAAACTCAATTTTACGATCAAGTCGACCTGGACGAACTAAAGCAGGATCTAATATATCTGGACGATTAGTAGCCATTAAAACCTAAAATTGAAAATGTGGATCTTGCAATGAAATAGCGATTTATAAACAAATTTAAATAAGAAGAGCATGGAAATAAAAAGTCTAGCTATAAGAATAAATTTATATAGCTGAGCTTAAATAATTTTCAAATCCAAATAAAAATCGTTTAAATAGCCTATTGTTATTTTTCGATAAAATGTTGGAATTAAATAAAAAAATGAAATAAATTCACTTTTATGTTTCCTCGCGGATCAAAACCATCTAATTGATTTATTAGTTCAAGCATTGTACGCTGTACTTCGTTATCACCACCCATACCATCATCGAATCTAGCACCACCAACAGCATCAATCTCGTCAAAAAAAATTAAACATGCCTAAAATAAGAAAGTGAATAAAATATTGATGCAAAGCCAAAAATTTCTTAAGCCAAATTAAAAATTTTCAAGATAAATTATAAGAAATAAGTAGTAAAAAATAAAAATAGCATATTTTTGAAATTATAACTTAAAACAATATTTTAATTTTAATAACATAATTCTTTCAATATTAAATTATCTTTTTTAAACCTAATGAGAATGAAATAGAAAACTAAATTTCAAAAATTCATAAAAATTAATATAATAAATGATAATATGATAATAACATAATTTCTTAAAATCCTCCTTGTTTAATCAGAGATGACAATATTTGTCGTATCCCAAATAAAAATTAGTTCAGACAGTTCAAAGAAAATTCCTCAATAAATCTCATAAACGATTTACTTTAACATACGAGTCTTATGCCATACAAACTTGAGTTTTTATCCTTCCTACTGAATAATTGCAGAGGATGTAATCAATTATAAATATCAATTATAATTATAATTAGATCCTTATCCTTATTAGAATTAGCCTTCCTGCTTAACTTTTTTGGTTCTGATCATTTCAAAAAATTCACGTACGTGTACCTTCTCCACTGTATTTTTGAATTAACATATAACCAATTACACGTATGAAACAAGCATCTATTAAATCGGAGACAACATATCATTACACAATACCACTATACAATAAATTTTATATATATTGGCATTTTTATTCGGTATAAAAATTTTTCAAAAATCAAACTTTTTTGGTTCTCGCCATTTCAAAAAGTTCACGCACCATACGTGCACCTTCTCCAACATATTTTTGAACTAACTCAGAACCAATTACACGTATGAAACAAGCATCTGTTCGGTTTGCTACTGCTCTCGCGCATAACGTTTTTCCAGTGCCTGGTGGTCCATAGAGCAAGACGCCTTTAGGTGGTTCAATACCCAAATTAACGAATCGTTCTGGCTAAAACTTTTTAATATGAAATATCGAGAACAATAACAAAATTAATCAAATACATACAATACAAAAAATTTGACAATACTATAAAAATGATTTTAAATAATACTTTTAACAAGGATATTTCGATGAAGCTGGTTAAGGTGGAAATGAAAGCTGAAAAAATTACATGAAGTAATGGAGTTTCAACAACTTCTCTTAGTTTTTCAATTTGATCCTTACAACCTCCGACATCAGCATAAGTAACATCTGGCTTTTCTTCCACCTAAATTTGAGAACACTTTAGTATTAAAAAATATATATATATATATATACATATATATATAAAACGAATTTCGCAAACTGCTTTACATTGATCAGCTACCTAGGATCATGGTTTTCAGAATTTTGTATCGGACTATTTTTATTGGACGACCTAAATTATTCGAACTGCAAAGAAACAAAACATATATAAAAAGTTAAAATGAAGAAAAAACTAAAAAACAATGAAAATTTACATATATATACTTAAAGCCTAGGGCCTATGAATTATAAATGACAAAAGAATGTTATCAAAATTGAAAATTGGTTTTCAATTTCAGAAATGGTTGTATATCAAAACAGAAAAGGTGAATTCACCTGCATCATTGTCACAGATGGATCGATTTTTGCTGGTAATGGTAAATGAATTTGGTACTTATTTCGATCAACTCCAACTCGCATACCTTCTTCAATGTCAGTTGGAGCTACAGTATCAGCTAAATCAACAACGAATTTCGCAAACTGCTTTACATTGATCAAATACCTAGGATCATGGTTTTCAGAAGTGACTATTTTTGTACATCGGGCGACCTAAATTATTCGAATTGCAAAAAGCAAAAAACAAATTCAAAAAGAAGAAAATGAAGAAAAAACTAAGAAGCAAGAAAAATTTTTATAAAAATTTTTTATAAAAATCACCGTTAAAAACGGGAAGATCAATTTATTTCAAGGAAAAGAAAAAATTTTGGTTTTTACAATTTACAAACTTGCAAAGGCTGTTCACTCTGCATAGTTTGCTTGTCGGCGGCAATATCCCATAAAGCTGGAGGGGCAAGTCCTGTATCGCTTTCTTTTACACCCGACAATTCATTAACCTTAAAAAAATATTTTTCAGAAATAAAATTCTATAAATATAGAGATTTCTCGATAGCCTGCACTTATAAATTCGAAACCAGAAAAGTATAGATGATTGCTCTTTTCAGAATAAAGAAAGCATAGAGAAAATTTTAGAGAACTTACCTTTTTCACACATTCTTCGATATCAGTTTCAAGTTGTTTCAATTGTTCAGCATAAGGACCTTGGCCGTAACGTTTGAGAACGGCAATATCAGTTTCATCCAGCACTTAAGGTAAAAAAATTATGTCACAGCAAAAAAATATGACACACAAATAAAAAAATTTAACTGAAAATTCATTTTTTACATATGGAAATATTCTAAGCAACTTGAAAAAAAATTAATAATAATTTAAATAATAATAATAATCAACAGAAGAAATTAGAATTTAGAAATTCTACAATTTATATAAACAATGAATTATTGAAATTTTATAAGTTCTCGCTAAAAATTAGGAAATTATTGGAAATGATCAAAAATTTAAAAGAATTAAATGAAAGAGAGTTTCGAAAAAAACCTTAAGTACCTTGAAAAGGCTTATCATCTTCATTATTTGCAGAATTATTAGCATTTTTCAGCACAATGTTTTTAGAAGTTTTCTCTGGCATTCTTTAAACTTTCTAAACTAAATTACGAGTCGATTAAAATAAAACTATTAATTAAAACTAATAAAATCGAAATATGAAAGGAACGAATAAATAAGATGAAACTCTTATAGATTTGATGCTGATACCGGACAAAGAACTAACAGCCTACAGACATCACTTCCACAGTTAATAACAGTTAATCTTGGCATAGCTGTGGCACAAGCAAAAGCTATTTTTAAAATCGGCTCAACGTCACCAAATTTTGTTAGATGCTACCAAATCAAAAATGCTGCGTAATATAGAAGATGAAAAAGAAAAATAAAGGGAAAATAGAAAAAATTTGAACTCTTTTTTAAGGTTTTTCCTCCTACGAATTCCTTATTTCTCATAACGATCTATACGTTTCCTTAATTATTCTTTTTTATTCATTATTATAACAATTAAAAGAAAACTTAGCAAAGCAAACAATCAAACAACTGCGATGAAAAACATTAACAAAATTACACGAATTACAATGAAATCTTTGCAATAAACATTTATTCCAACTGGTCCACAAAAATGCATTTAAAAAAGTTTCAAGTTTTTTTCTCGAATTAACAGAAATGAACGAGAAATATTGCCAAAAACTTGCTTGAATCAAAAAATTGCCGGCATTTCCACTGAATATATAGCAATTACATATAAAAACATTTTAATTTCGTTTAGAAGTATACAAAAAATTTGAAGCAATTTACATAGAAACGCGCAATAGTCATACAATCTTAGCTTTTCGTAAAACTTAAGAAAACGAAGAAAATAATGGACAAAAAGCGAAATTAAATGAAAACAAGCGAAATTATTATTTGTTTGCCCATTTCAAATTTTTAAATTTAATTCGATCTATTAAAATAAAATGATGTGAAAATTATTGTTACTTTCGCTATTAATATTATTATTTTTATTATTTTCTTATTATTATTATTATTAAACTATTATTTTTTACTCGCGGATTCCATTTCCTTTCCTATTTTTTAGTTTTAAAGCTTCTGAAATTTTTGTAAATACCGTTTGTAGAAAATCGTTTTACTATACAATAGTTCTATTGCAGCTCAATATATATGAATAGCACCGATGCTGAGATTCGAATCCCCGCAGGAGAACTTATGCAAAAATCCAGGTGATGCTGGCGACTCACATGTACTTCTATCGCCAAGAGACTCCCTAAATAGGATAAATTTCAGGATCAGAACATGGCTAAACTACGTCGACATAAGGTATGCATAAGGTATAGAAAATAGAAGGAGGCCGTCAACAAGCACTTTGATGAAGATGGTATTTCCAAGCGACTCAAATCAGGTTTCAAGGGTGATCGAGCGGTCAACTCTAAATAATTAAGCAAGTGGTCGGTCCTCACAATTTCTGCTTAGATTCATTCCGTTAAATGTTAGTATGAAGAGGATTTTTTTACTGCCACTTGTGGGTAGAACTGATGGATCGTCCTTCATCACATCCAGATCTTTCAATAAAACGACTTTTAAGGCAAGGTAGAGGATACGGTAACCTGTGGAGTAAGCTTATTATCAAACTACTGAAGGTGATTGAATTTACTGGAATATTGAACTACTGAGCTGTTTGTAAATTTATAAGTCTAGTTGGTGCAGATACCAGTTAATTAACTGCACCAACTAGATTTTTCCGTATGATGACAAGTTTACTCTAGGCCTATAGCAGAATTATTTCAAGGTTAAGCTTTTCATCGAATACATTTCGCTTTGCTAGGCCATGGTACTATAATGATAACATTAATCATCATTTTAAGTGATGCATTGAATAAAAAATATTAAGAAACATTCTTGTTATTTTATATTCAAATAAAATTTTATATTATATATTTGGAATTGTTCCATGCAGATTTCAGCTTTAAAGCGTTTCATTCATTATTGTTGAAATTTAACAAATGATAGCGTTTCATTAAGCGATCATTGATAAAAAATTCATTTTGATGGAATTACGCTCCATAAGTAATTCCCTGAGGCAGATAATTAAATGTAAATTGAAAATATGGCTTTTTTTGATATTTATTGATAATGTTAATTCAATTTCTCTTAATTTTATACAATAAATTCTAATTAATTTATTTTAATTTATTTGGATTAATAGTTTTAATCCAGAAATTTTTGAGAAAATTTTGAAATATCATTTCAAAAATATCAATTATCAATATTAAAAACTTTTTTTAAAATTTAATTTATTTATAATATAAAATATAAAATTTAAAATTCAGAACTCCAATAATCATTATACTGATAGACTGAAAAATAAAGTTTTCATTGGAAATCTTATTTTTTTCCAACTACCTTTAGTTTTTTAAATAAAATAAGATTTTTGCCTGGTTCTTTAATGATATATTTATAGCTCTATTTAATAGAAATTTATAGCAAAAATGGTAAAATGGTAAAAAAAGAAATCCACTTAGTGATCATTCGCAAATTACAATCTATAACTACAAGAAAATAAGAAGTAAATGATTTTGAGTAAGACTCCATCTATTAACTAACATTAAAATGAAGAAATTTTTCCCAGTCATTTGGAGATAGAAATACAGCGCAGCCAGTAACAATCGAATAGTGATAACTCGGCCACTCATAAGTTAAAAGAATAAAAAAATTTACTTTATAAATTTTTGTTTTTTTCTATTAAATGGACGAATCGTGCTATATATTAATAATGGAACGAATAGATCATGCTGGAATTATTCAGTTCAATTATTCAATTTTTAACGTATAATAAAATGAATCTTATTTAATTTTCATGAATCCAACAAATCCATGGAAGTTTCTAAGATTTCGAAGTATCTTAGATTGATTAATTAAACTGTACTGTTTAATTATAATGTAATCAGTGTAATCTATAGGAGGAAAAATAATCCGATAAAATATTGATTATTAATATTATTGTTATTATTACTATTGTCATTACTCCTACCATAATTATTGTTACTATTATTATAAATTACTAATATTATTATTATTAATATTATTATTATAAATTAGGATTAGGATTAATATTATTATTATAAATTAGGTTTACTTTATTGGAAATTTGGTGATCTGATGAAAAATTATGATATGATGAGAAAAATAAAGGAAAAGAAGGGTGTGAAAAATGAAAAATTTATTTGAATAAATTAGGATTAGAATAGTGGCTAACAAAATGAAAAAAAAACTAACTCAGCGAAAAGAAGCCCATAATCATCTTTATTTTAATCCACAAGTGAGTTTCTGATAAAGAAGTTATTCTAATCAGTAAAGCCAGCTAAAATAAAAATGGTGGTACTATTAAAAGAAGAAATTGTAAGATTGGATCATAATTTGTCAGCTGTAACATTCATTTATGCACTAAATATACTAAGTATTTCGCTGCTTCCTTTTATTTTTTATAAGAATAAAAAGGATGCTTTGTCCATTTCTTCCTCCAATCTGATATAATTCTTTCCGAACAGGATAAAGTTTTCTGAACTTCATCGAATTTTTCATAACTTCATCGAATTTTGTTTGGTAATATTCGTTATAGCAAACTCTTTTGTGATGCTAATTTTATAATTCGTTAGTGATTTTCTGCAAATTAGCAACTATAAGTCATCCATCTATCATACAAAAAAAAACTTTTCAATTTTTCATTCTCTATAAGTTTTTTTCAAATTTCAAAATAGTTGATGAAAAATGAGGAAAAATTACGATTGCAATCCTATAAAGTCCTTGATACTTTTTCTATGGATTTTCGAGAAATTTTCATAATTACTTCTTTCAAGAACTATTCGAATGTGTGCGTCATTGAATGAAAGAATGAATATGATCTGAAAGAAAATGAAGACATCAATAGACAAAGGAAATTAAAATTAAGAAAGATGGATAATTTACCATGTGAGGACAAAATGAGGAAAAATTCATTCCATCAATAATCAACATTGATACTCTCGAGCTTCAATCGCAGTAAAAGAGATGCTAATGTATCAACTATATCCAAAAAAGCACCACTTTTCACACTTCTAGCAATTCCTGAAAACGTTTAATATTTAATGGTAAAAGGATGGTTCGGAGCAATTGATTTAAAATATTTAAAATGGTTTCTATTAAGCTGGCTTCACTAGTTGCTAAAAAATTTTGCCATAGAGTCAGTCGGCGTGTGTCGCTAGATCAGCATTATCCGGGATTGGAATTTATTTAATATTATCAAAAAATCATCATGTCAACAATTATTCATGAATAATCATCCAATTTTCTTTTATCAAACTCAAGCATAAAGAAAACCATTTTTTCAATTAAATGGACCATGGAATTCGCGAAATTCATTCATAATGTGAATTTATTTATCGAAATATGCCAATACCACTTTATATTCTCATTTTTCTATGGAATAAGGCCACATGCCAAAAGTTGTGACCAGTTAGCATAGAGCGATCCTGAAAAAAATTAAAGACCTTTTGTGAAACTTAAGATTCAAAAAGTAATCGAACTGAGACTCACAATTAGTCTAAAAATTTGACTTTTATAGATGCAAATAAGCTTAATTAATATCTCAAAAATGCAATGAATTTTGTTGGATTCTGTTGGATTGTTGATATTTTTAATTTTTAATCTAATTTAAAAAGAGTACAGTTTTTTTTTAATGGTTAATTTCATGAATTCGATTCCTTGATGAATTCGGTTCAACGTAGGGAGCTAGAGAAACGGACTTAGCTAGTAATGGTGACCCTTCAAGAAGAAAGCATAATAGAAGTAAGTATTCTAAACCAATTAAAGTGCAAGGATGCAAGGAAATCATCCGATTTAGGTTCTGAAGCTTACGTAAAAAGCGAGGAAGTAGATGGGAATTCGAAAATATAAATTAAATCTCTTATATTAAGAAATTTTTTAAAAAATTGGTGGAATTCTGAGAGATTTCTGGAGATGGAGAATAAAAATAAAATTCTTCCAAAAAAAATTAAATTTTTGTACTTTAATTTATAAAATATTTACGTACTCATGAGCAATTAAATCGAGTGCATATTCTCGTACTGCGTTCCTCTTTTTTTGCGCACTAATTCGTACTAATTCCCTAATCTCATCATTTTATTTTATTTTGAGAAATTGCTTTCCCGACCTATCATTTAATTCCTTTAATGCCTTATTCCTCATCATTTAATTCCTTTCCCGACATATCGTACGGCCGGTTCCAGTCAAATCCAGTGCTAAATAAAAAAATTTGTGAGCGTCACAAGATTGAACGCAACTAAATGAGATCGAAAATTTAAGTGTCATTCTTAATTTAAAATGCGGAAAGGCGTATAACACAGCATCATAATAATCTAAGGACTCAAGAGTCCCCACCATTACCAGTTAAACTCCACTGGCTTGTCGCAGTTGGGCAATATGCCAGGGAATCTTTTGGCGATAGAAATACAGGTGAGTCGCCAGCATCACCCGTATTTTTGTACACGTTTTCTAAGGAATTAGGACAAAACAAATGAATCATCATTTTCTAATAGTTTCTAGCTTGGCTGTTCCACTAACCATTAATATGAGACCTTTTTGCTTTACTTACCATTCCTTTCCACAACTTTTAAATCATGTTAAAATATTGCGAAGGAATAGTTGAATTTATGATCTAAATTGTCAAATTGTCAACTTTTATCGTCTTACTAGCATCATGCTCAACTTGTTTCATTTCCATTACAGCATCTTTTATCGCGACAAGTTGGTCACTGTTAATAAAATAAATTGTCGTAAAGATGCGTCAAAATAGTGCGCAGCTTCGCTAGATTTTGTCGATGTTGAAGCCTTGACCACGCCATGCCTGAAACTTCTTGAATCTTACTGATGAAAATCGAATTCAAAAAATCATCCACCAATTATCCAAAATAAATAGTTTTAGCAATTTTGAATTCAAAGAATGCATTCATTACTTATTTTCATCAAGAAAAACTATTGATTTTCAAAATTTTACTTGACAGTCGCGCAGGTTCTCAGCATACCATTTAGCCATTTTCTTGAAATTAAAAAGGTTTGAGCCAAGTGACTCCATGGAAGAAATTTTTAATCTAGCTATGAAGCTTAACCACTTATTTGTTTCAATTGAGAATAAAAGAAGGTCCCTAGAAGGATTGCGAGATTTTCTGAAGACGCTCACTTATCGACCTGTACTATTAACGTAAAAATGTGAGAAAAATATTATGAGAAAAATGCCTTGTTCAGCTCCAGAATGCAGCTGAGCTAAAGTTAGAGGTTTCATCTGCAAAATCGTTTGGGTGAATTTTCTTATAATCGCTATAAATTTGAACTTAAGAGAAAAAGCATATATGAACAACAAACGAGAAACAACTATTAGATTATTAAATTACAATTAAAAAAACTTTTCAGATATTCTAGAATATTTTCAAAATTACCAAACTATTTAGTGACAAATAAAAAAGTAATACAAATAAGATTTAAAATTAAGCAAGCATAAAATTAAAATCAAAAATTTTTTTCCGAGAAGTTAACGAAATTCGTAAATTATCATTTACACCCAAAAAAGCTTATCATTCCTGCTTGGTTTAGCTACGCTATCTGTCGCATGGCTGGAAGTTTTTTCAGTAGTAGGAACGCCAGCATATTTTTTAGCTCACTCCAGTCGGATACAGGAACCGAGCCTTTCAACAAATTTGGTACGCACTTTTTTAATTTAGATATTCAGTTTTTGAAAACCATTAATCAATTTATTTATTATGCAGAAAGTCGCTAATCTTTTTTCCAACTTTTTTAAATTGAAATTTAACACCATTTAGTCGTAGTTAAATAATTTACAATTAAATCAAATTAATTAAAAAGTTAAATTAAAATTGAATTAAAATTTGAGATTAAATAAAAATAAATTGTAAAATCTATTTGTATATTTCGTAATTTTTTTTGGCTGAAATATATTAAAAATGAAATGTTTTAAAAGTTTCGTAATCAGTGATTGATGCATTTCAGAGAGCGAATAATTCAAAGCCTTTTCACAATTTTAATTCTATCTCTGTTGCGAAGCTCATTGTTTTGGTTGATTTGATTTCTGACATTGTCTACTGGGATGAAACTCCCATAAAGAGTCACGACAGAAGGACAGAGGATAGATTTATTGACGAGTCCTCAGCACCATTCAGATTTTAATTTCATTATTCCTACTTCTAAAAGCAGGAATCGGGTTGAAAAACGTGGAAACAAATAATCATTGTAATTTTGCTACTATGTTACTAATAATCGAAAAGTTCTCAGGTGCAAAGAACGATTTAGTTTGTTAGCTGAGATCCAGCCTAAATTTAATGATTTAATAATTCATCGATGCGTTCGCTTTTTAAGACCAAATTACGGAGTTAACTCCACAAAAACGTCTCATAAAAATTGCCGACGGCTCTCTTTTAAAATTAACTTTGACTTCTTCAGAAGGATGGATGGCTTCGAATCACACTTTTCGGTCTCTTTTCTATGCATCATTGATGACTTCGTAGAAATGTACAAAAATTTTTCAAATTTCAGGAAAGCATATTTATATAAAAATGATGATAAATTTTGAAAGCAATTAGGAAATAAAGTTAAAAAATTTACTTCACCAAGTAAAACCTCGAAGAAATCGTATATATTTATATATTGGAAGGAGGCGTTTAAAATACAAATAGGAATCTTGTCCTTTTCTTCTAAAAATTTTTCAAACACTCTTCGTTAAACTTTCACGAAAATAAACTCTTCTTCTCGAAAATTTCGCGTCCTCCGGAAAATGACATCATTGTTATCACCGTTATTGCCATTTTTATGCATCAACCTTCTCCTACAACTTCTCATTATATTTTATTACATTGTTGCTATACAACCAAAAACTCTCGCCGAAAGGTATTTTTTTAACTTCTTGTTCTTTGTTTTTTAAGTTATTTCTTTCTTCTTCTTTTACCACCGAATCTTTTTTCCTTTTTTCTTCTAGCTTTTCTTAATTTATTGCTCGGTAAGCTAACAAATGAGTGGCTGACGCACTTATCATTTCTGGTGCTTCCTCAGTGCAATGTGGAATTGCTAAGGAGTCAATAGGCGATAGAAATACGGATGAACAGAGCATCATCCAGATTTTTCAATCAGAAAGGTTTGCTTTTGCTCCAGCAGGAATTCTTGACGCTCGAGATGACAACCTCAGCAGTAAGGCTAAGGCCAGTGGACTATCCAGCCTGCCGGTCAGCAAATAGAAAAACTTACTCGAATATTCAATATATAGTTTTGGATTATTAAAAAAGTTCGTAGAACAAAGATTGCACATCGTCGTCATCGCACCACTTTGTCTTCTAAAGTATCTTATAAATAACTGTAAATTAACTGCGGTTTTTTGGTTTCGATATTTTTTTTTGCACTGAATTTTATTCCATTAGAAGGAAATAACTGAGAGGAACTGGTTTCATTTCGAAACTGCAACAAATTTAATGATTATCGAATATTTATTTTCTATTTAATAAATCATTATGCTTGGTGAATGAAAAAGTGACTGAACGCAAAAATTTTGGAATGTTCGTTCATAAATATTTTACGATTTTCGTTGGAAGAATAAAAAAATTGAGTTAATTTCTGAGTTAACTTTTTCATTTCATTTGAACTATCTTACATCTTCCGCTAATATCTCGTAAAACAGCATTTAAGACAGCCTTTAATGAAGTCCGTCAAATTCTTTTTAACTCTTTCTTTTTGCCAAATATTGGCTGCTTTTTGCATAATCCTTTCGCGGCTTTTCTTTTTTCGCAGCGACTTTTATTTATTCGCGAATCTCCATAAAATCTAAAAGAAACTTAATGTCTAAAAATGACAACAACATAGGCATATGATGATGGTCTAAATCTGAAATGGAAAGAAGTTAATTAAATCGCTAGGAACTTAAAGTTGAATAAATTTCTCAAATTTCTATTTTTATAGTAATAATATAGTTAAAATTTTATAATAAATTGCCATATTCGATATATATGGTGTAACGAGCCAGTAGACTGGCACCACTTATACTTCCACTATCAAATGAGTGAGTCTCTGGCGAAGAGATTCCATCCTAACGGTGCCAGCCAAACTAGAAATAGTGGATGTTGTTAAAGGAACGGCCAACTGATTGAAATTAATAAATTACAAATCTGAGTTCAAATGAAAAATTTGAAAGTATCGCATGAATTTACTGAAATTTTAATTGAATTCGAACTTGTATGTAAAAAACTTTTTTCTTTGAAAAAAACTTTTTAAAAAAGTCAAATACAATATTGAAAAATTTTTAAAAAAATAAATAAGGAAAGTTTTTAGCTACTATGGATGTACATTAATGGATCATCAAACATGTGATGAATTATGCAAACAAGATTCATACTGGTATGGACATTGTGCATCATGGGACGGTCGTGATTTCAGTTGCAAATGTTACGACTATAAGCCTCCGTTGGACAGTACAGTTTGCAAACCAAAGCAACAATCCTGTAACGAAACTTGCAAAAAACAGGCTTGCATTTGCTTGGGAATTTTGAAATCTTGGGAAAAAAAAAATAAATTCTGCCCACTAGCGGTATCCGCTGTAAGTAAAGCTCATAAATATTCGTTATGATTTCTGGTTTTTTTCCCGGACGTTTGTTTAATTATCGAGGATTATTATCGAGGATTTGAAAATTATTCCAGTATATCAGCTCAAATTCCATTATTAATTTCTCATAAGAAATAATTGAAAACGACGAAGAATTCTCGCTAGAGTCAATTAGAGTCAATCAACCTTTGAAAATAATTTATCCCGAACGCTGGCCCCGTGAAGGTCGACGGCGAAATATGCGTCCAGTCGTCCAATTTTACAGCAATCTACAATATATATAATTTCTGCTAGAGAGAGACTCACTATAATTCGCTTTGTTAATAAAAAGTCCTCTTTTCCGATAAACTTTATTTGTCCTAAGTAAATGGCATTTTCGATAGTTCAAGAAATTTTTTAAAATTCCTTTTCTTTTATTTTTTAATTCACCATTCACCATATAAAATTCTTCGTTTTTTCTTAATTTTAATAAGCAAAAACGCATATTTATCGATTCATTTCTTAATTTCCCTAAGTTCCAATAATATACAAAAATAGCAAACATAATGTAATAAATATAACAAAGACTCAGCTCTCACCAGTTTGGTTTGCTCACTTGTTGTTAGAAATTTTAAAAATTTAAGGTGAGCAATTTTTGTGAGATAGCCACTTAGAGATAATATAGATGAGTCGTCAGAACCACTCGGATTTTTTATTGACTGCTTTATGGCTATACTGGAGCAACAGCTCTCTCCAACTCTCAACACGATAATATCCACTCGGCTATTCTACCACTATCACTAATATAAATAACTAATAATTAACTAATTTATACTAAATTTTTGACAAAAAAAGGATGAAGAACCGTAAAAAAGATATTAAAAAAACAATCAAGCATGCCACCAACTATAAATTAATCATTTTAAAATGAACCGAGATCATAAAATAAAAAATAAATTAAAAAAATTTTAAAATCTGAATTTATAAAATTCATTCATTCAGCAAAACAGTTTTATAAAAGTTGTAAAAAAATGGCTTTAATTTAAATAAGGTGAATCTCATTTGTTTCATGAACGCGGCAAATTTAATCATCAAATTCTATTTTATTACCGTTTATAAAATCAGTTAAAAAAATGAAATTTACTAAAAAATTACTAAAAAACACAATTACAGGGCCTTGAAGGAGGTTACTGCTACATTCGTAAGACTTATTTCTCAGAAAAAGGTACGCCAAACTGTAAATGTTTTGAAGAACTACTGCCTACTCGATAGCTGATCACAGCAATCTCTTGCACTGCGATTATAACCAAATAGATATTTTATTACAAATAATTAAATATTTACAGCTAAAAAAATTGAAATGTAAGAAATAATTATGCAATTACTTATTCGTGTCTATTTCTATTTCGAATCCCAATCCCACCAAGAAAATCTTTTTTTATCTAAAAAAGGACATAAATAAAATAAAAACAAGATAAAATATTAATTTGCTAATAACTCGTTCCAACAGTTTCAATCGTAATTTATCATTTAAAATCGCAAAAGGGTCAATAAATGCTTAATAATATTTTAAACAAACCACGTCAACAAACTTCAAGAAGAATCACTGATATTCTTCTCTCAATAACACATAATAAATATATATATATATATATGAATAAATATATAGTGGAATATTTCCTAAATAATGATGATTCCATTCATTTAAAAAGTATATGTCGTGTGTTAATATTGGCAACATAAATTAAAAAAAAATTAAAAAACTGAAACAGGAATATGAACAATACGATAAATTCTATCAATGGATTGCAGTTTTAGGAGTGAATAGTGTTGCCAAATTTGTTTTTAAAACTAAAGACGAACGAGCAAAACATGATTATGTAAGTTGTTGCTAATATTAACACCGATCGTGAAGAGACAACAGAAAAAAGCAATATAGCTGTAACTTCCATTCATGCCAACACTAACATTCAATGGCGAAAAAGAAGACACGGTACGATCAAAATTATAAATAAACAAAACTTCCACTGCTCATAAAGATGTTTCAATCCTGAATGTTTTAATAATTTCTTTGCATTCCAAAAAGAGGACTCCAACTGCATCAAAAAAATCAGCGACCTCTTGATCGCATCTATCCTTTGAAACAATGATACCGCCAGTAAAAAGATCGACATCTAACTGGCTCCATTCGGGAATTTCTATATCCCGTCCAAATCCAGATGCAAGATTCTTAAAGAGAAACTCGAAAAATTGTGGAAATATTTAGTATTATTAATCTAGCATCTCTTTAGCAAATAAAACTCTATTTAAAGTAGACCAGAGATTCTAATAGATTCCATAAGGTTAATAAAGTTTATAGAATTGTGAACAAAAAATTTTAGACGAACTTGAAAATATAAATCAGTATCTTCTAATCGTTGCATAACTAAATCGATACGTTCCATCAAATTGGTTATATTTGAAGAAATATTTGTATGAACTGGCCTGCTGGTGCAAAGCCTGAAAATTCAGTCGAAAAGAAAAGGAAGGAGAAATTAGAATGAAATATTAGCAAACCAATGAAGAAACTAATCTGAAAGAGGTGTAATTTTTTTTGCATAAATAAACCTTGCTTTAAAACTTTTTTTGAAGAAAACCTCATTATATTCAATTTTTCTGAAGAAATTAATTCCAATTAATAAGCGCCCTGTAAAGAAAAGCAAGGTCATCACAATTACAAACAAAGCAGACCAACTGAATTAAAGACTTGAAAAAAATTTTGAAAACCCAATCAAATCAAAAATCTTGCAAATCTGGATTTGGAATATCACCTTTCAAAAATTATTTTCACTCGCTTTAATCGCCTCTTCCAGTTAAGAATACGTATTTTAAGAGGCTTGTCCGTAAAATTTCTGTGATTGGACACAAAAGCAAGTTGAACACCATATTCCCGAAAATCATGCATTGCTATTTCATGCTGAAATTATTCTGCAATGAGCATCCTCCACCATAAATCGAAATAACCAAACTTTAAAAAAGGTAAGTTGGTTATGGTTTCAAAAAATGCCACAGTTCTTGAGGAAAAGATATCCTTAACATAAAATACTTGTTGGATTTTAAAATTTTGCCGGTCAATAAGCCTATCTGAATCCACAGCCTCATCTTCTTGCACTTCTAAGCATTCCGCCATATTGATCTGAAATAATTTTTGACAAAGACGTATAGGTCAAAAAAAGAAATAATGCAATTTTACTGGTCTATGCAATAAAAAAGAACGCAAAAAAATATTTAAATATGCTACGAGTGCCAATGCCCATCATCTGCTCTTCCTCTTAAATATCTGTTAAAAGCAATTTTTTTAAACTTTAAGGCGTTTTTTCTTCTCTGCATGATCCTCGATTATAAATGGAAATATCTTTTAGTGAACAATAACTATTTTAGACAAACACAACATTTACAATTCATAAATCGTGGTATAATAAAATATTTTATAAAAAAAATCAATGTACAATAGCAAAAATTTCATTAGCAAATTTATTTACAAAATAACTCCGTTTGTAATAATTTTTCTAATAAAAAATAAAGTAATTTTTAAAAAAATCGTACCCTATTCCCATTAAATCCTATTAAATTAGGGCAAATTTTCAGAGAAAATACTGTTCAACAATTTTTTAAATATTTCTCTGATATTTACTTAGCAGCAGATGAGTAACTGTTAAGATCATCATCTGAGTCATCTTATTTCCGATATTATTAGAAAACTTTAATATTTTTAATATTTAATATTTTTTATTAACCCATCAGTACTTTTATCCCTAAGTGATTCCCTAATAAAAATTACTTAACAAACCGAAAGTCTGAGCAGAACTGGTAAACATTAGTCACTTATTTACATTTTTATTCTCCTACTTATAAAACCTATAGAATGGAACAAAAAACTTAAACTTAATAAAAATTAACGATATTTAAACAAATGAATTAAAATGAAAAAAATTGAAAATAATTTGAATAAATTAATTTAGTTCAAATTCAAATATTCAAGCCTTAATATGATCAGAGAAGAGTTCAAAATTAACGCAGTTATATTTCAGCGGTAATATGGAAATTGCCGATTCTTGCAGTTGCCGAACAAGAAAAGAATAACGCAATGCGTACTTCAAAGTTGGTTGAATGTAATTGTGAACAAAACTTTCTTTACCTATTGAAGAAAACTGGAATGGATTGAAAAATTTTAGAAATTCAATCACAAAATTGAAACAATTCCAATGTTCCTCATCATAATCCTGAAAATTGAACAAAATTGCAGTTAAAAATCAATAAAGTTAATATAATCTCTTGTAAATTTAAAACACCAAAAAGTTGAGGAATTCGATAAATTTTAACCATCTTCCACCAGAAAGCGCCTAAAATTGATAAAATAAAAACCTACTGCCAATGAGAAACGATCAGAATGCTCATTGAAGAATTTTCTTAACAAATTAGCAATATTAAAACAGCGATTAAATTTATAAATATGAATTCGATCCATCCATGATGCACAAGTTTCAATCATAATACCTTTCGACCAATAAGAATAAATCATACCATGAACATATAAACCAATATGCAAATCTTGTCCAACTTTATAACTAAAAAAATAAAAATTCATGCGAATAATAAACAAAAAAATTTAATGATTAATTAAATTTTTAATTAACAAACTTGTGACCCAATTATTTTGAATAAAATCTATAATTTGAGTGAACAGAAAGAATTCAGAAATTCAAAAACTGAAACGGGGAAAACAAAAGAATAAAATGGCATGGGAAACAATGCTTTATATATTAAGACCAATGTAAATAACTGAGCATAACAAAATAGGCGAAAAAAACTAATAACTGAACATAAAACTGCAAGAAAATATGACACAATCTCACGCAAACTCCAATCCGGAAAGCCATGGCCAGAAATGCTTTTCTCTGCCTTGCGAAACCTTTATGATACCAATGCAACAAAACGACAATCAACAACAAAACGAGATAAAGGAGAAGCTCACTTTGCAAGAGTGTTAAGAAAACATAAAGGGCGATAATAAGGTAATATATGCCTATGGATGAAGGGACGAAATGCAAGCAATGCAGATGGATAGCATAGCGAAGCGAAAGAATGTAAAACTTCTTACCAGTGCTATCCGCCTAACCGAAAATTTCTCGGGCAATTAATTTAACTTTATATTCAAGACGTATTTAATAATAATAAAGTGGAAAACACGAAACTTACTTATAAAAAGTATTTCCGTCCGACGGTTTAAGGACAATAGATGGCATCTCATGAGAATTAAAAGGATTCGACATCGTTAAAGTATGATATTCTGCAAAATGCATTCCACATTTCATGCAATACAGCGGCAACGCATTCGTCAAATTAATAAAATTAAATCCACATTTTTTGTGCAAATTTATTCTTAACGACGGCAGTAAATGCATCTTTAAAAAATTTTATTAATAAATATTTATTAATATTTTATTTTATTAAAATTTTATTAATTAATTATTAATTAAAATATTAATTTCATTTTTCACACTTTTCGCGCACATCACAAATTTTTAAAGATGGAATTTCATAGCGACCAGAGTGCTTTCCACAGGACACGTGCAATAAAAATCATAGAAATAAGTAAAAGCGAAAAGTAAGTAAAAACCAAAAAGTGAAAACTAAGTACAGCAAAAGCAAGAAAGTAGGCGCAAAGTTTTATCACAAGAAATGGAAAGAAACTGGGCTTAAACATTTCCACCTTAAATGATAATCAGACTGCTACGTGCTGCATTCCCTCAATAAAATCTCCTCTTTCGTCCAACCCCTCCCTCACTTCTTCGGTTTCTTTCTTATCCTATTTCCTCACCAATAAGTCGTCCACACCTATCAGAGCTTGTATTTTTTTCACCTCCTTTTGTCGTATAACCTTCAAACCCCCCTCCCCCTCCTATCTTCACCATACTTCTTTCCAATAAATGGGTATCGTATATATGAAGTTTTGTGAGGACTATCCGAAAGTGGACACAAATATGTAAGTGATGCGAAGGCGGGAAATTCAAAGATCCGTTGTTTTGGTCGCATTTTCATGATGTATTTGACGAATTTTTTACCCGAACGACTGTAGTTATTTGCCTTTTATTTTTATGTGAAAATGAGTTTTATTTTTTAATATTGTTTAAAATTTCTTGTGAATATAATTGTAAAGATCGCGAGGAATTCGCCGTCATCAGCCCGAAACAAATTTTATTATTTCTTATTTTCGTATTAATTCTTCCCGCATCTCAAAAACTTTGTTTCTCCACGGAATTTCTCCGTTGATTGGTTGCTTCATTCGAAGATAATCGCATTTGTCGCTAATTTAAATTATTTATTAGTATTTTTCGGAAATCCGATTTCGTCGATCGCATAGCAATTTATCTGCCAAAAGATTTAACAGATTTTTTAGTATTTACGAATAAAACACTGACGAATTATAATAATTGTCATTATGAGCGAACTGAAAACGCATTTGCCGTTATCGAAAATCAAGAAAATTTGCAAACTTAACGAGGGTTGTTGCGCGATTTCGTCGGATGCGATTCGACTTTTTGCAATTGCAACGGTCAGTTTTTTTTCTTCTTTTTTTGGTTGATTATTTCTTCGACTAATTCAATTTTATTTGTTGGGAGAATCTCGCGGTTTAAATTCCAGTTTTACTCGGTTATTCGTTCCACTTTAAAAATTTGTTCTGTTTTTTTCTTATTTTTTCCGTTTTAGTGATTCATTTTCAAAAATTTTAGTGAATTTTATTTCTTATAAATTCCAAGTGCATTATTTCATTTCCGTGAGATCGTTCGAGATTTCATCAGGTTGAGACAGAGAATGAATGAATAGAATAAGATTGTTCGTTTTAATATCGGATTGGTGAGTAACCTTGCTTATGATGACAGAACACCAGAACTTTGGCCTAATCCATCAAAAAAATAATCCTTGTGCCTGGGGAAGACACGAGAAGTAAAATAAGTGTGTATAAAGTATATAAGTATATAAAGTTATCTTCTTGCAGTGAGGTTTTTTTTATGATAAAGTAGAAATTTTTTATGCACATTATTTATATGGTATTCTGGAAAAATTGTATTTATATAGATTATGTGGATGGCAGATAAGTCCATTAACAATTTCGTTTCTTAATTCTTAAATGATTTCGTTTGTGATCAAAAAGTAAATTTAAACTCTAAATAATAATTTGCATATATCAGAAAAGAATTAACGAATTACTTCATAATATAGCCGATGAAAAAATTTATAGGAAAATTTTACTAAAGTTCTGGCCAAAGCAGCCCACAACAGAATGTTAGTTGATAAGAGAAAAAAACTTCTGCTGAAAGATATTGGTAACTTTTTCGTTAAGACTGTTTTTTTCTTTTCTTATGCAAAAAAATTACGATGGTCTTTAAAATGCTAATTTGTAATTACGATTAAGAACGCAATAGTTTTGCTTTGCCTTGAATCAGTATCAAAATTGTGTAAAGTACTGTTATATATATAAAATATTAAAAGTAAATTCATCCTGTATTAACTTTATTTTCAAAGAGAAGAATTTGCCTCATATTTTGAAAATTTCTGATTTTTTGGATTCGACAATATTAAATCCAAATCATATTAAATCTATACAAAAAAATACTCGCAAATTGAAAATTGCTTTAAAAAAAGAATGATAAGAAAAGTAAGTATGCTTATATCTTTAGATATTTTCGACTTTAACAAATATTTAGATCTATGTTCAAAAGAAATAAAATTTTTCAAATTTCTGGATGGCGCTCTTGACGGTTGGCCAGAAGAAAATATTTCAATTAAGGATGGACGCATTTCTGATCATATGGAATTAAATGACCTTCAAGGAAACACATTAAAAGATTCGAATATTTTTCCACAAAATGAACTTTTCAGTAAGAATGAAGCAAATCAAAAAGAAAATGAGGTATTTTTTAAATGATTCAAATATTGAAATGATTGTTATATAATTTCTCTGCTAATTTTCTTATTAAATTATTAATACATAGTTTGACAAATTTAAATATTTGAAACGACGCAATTTATATTCAGTTCTTTTTGTATTTCATCAGTTCTCACCATTACTGATTAGAATGGTTCTGCTGGCAACGTGGGTAAGACATTTCTAAGCTGTTTGATTTGGTGCCATCGTTTGTAGTGATAGAAGTTTCTTGGGAATCGGGAACAGAATTGTTTTGTTCCAGTCATCAGTTATATTATTTCTTTCCGCCATACATTGTTGAAGAAGTAAAAAGAATGTGATGGACAATATTTGAAGAGTTCACTTCGAAAACCTTCTTCGAAAGTTTTATCGGCCTTTTGCTGATGGATAATGGAAATTATTTTCTATTCTATTGGCAGTTTGCAATTACAAACGTATGGCTCGACGAGCGAATAAGCTATATCAGGGACAGCGGACGGTATGTCGTGGTTAGGTTTGGTCTCAAAGAATTAGGAAATTGCAGAACAATATAATATAATTCGAAATAACTATATTATATATAGTCGGATGTTGAATGTCGAGATTTCATTTTCCGCATGATGTGAACTTTTTAAATAACATCATAAATGATATAATCTAATCTTTTTTTAAAGATAGCTGGGGATGACGCACAAGCTACATCGTTCGGTAATTTATTCCAGTAATAAATCGTACAAATAAAGAAATCATGAGTCCTTAGTTTAGTTTTATTTTAGTTATTTTTATTTTAGTTTTATATATAGGTTTTAATAATTTTAGCCCATTAGATCTTGTTGGATTCAAATTTAGCCTAAAATTATATTTTGAGCAATCTAGTTTAATATAACCATACAGAATCATATAAATTAAAATTTCTTTAATATGACGAACCGAACTAACAGAGAATCCGGGTTATATTGTAGAAGTTTTCTTTTATTATTAAAATTGCAATTGGGAGAGAGGCGCCGTATAAAATATTGAGTCTTCAGTTATTTTATTTTATTTGATTTGAGATATCTCAGGAAATAACATGTAGTATTGTAGCCAAGAAGTGGCCGAACGAACGCTTTGTATATTTTGATAAGAAATGCTTCAGTTTTGCTCTTAAACAAACGAAAAATAAAATTTGCACTCCATTATCATTCCGTATCATTTCACTGATCATTCTCCGAATCTTAGTTGCTTTATGAAAAAATGGAATGGTTTTCTATTATTGCATAAATGAGTAACTATTTCCATTTACAAGGCTGAAAAGCATCCAATAATCAGGATCTCCTGGTATCCTTCGATAGTTTTTTAAAATAGACAATTCAATGTTCAACACATTTTATACTAGCATATCCTAGTGGAAAAGGCTGATTTTCGGCGACATGACTTTAACTGTGACCAATATTTGTTAATAGTAAAGCAAAGTCAAAAGAAAAATTAAGCGTCGAAGATAGAAAATAAAAATAATAATAAATAATAACCAAATATCAGGGCTGGCTCCATTTTCTAGCCATAAGATGACCTAGCTAAGGTTGCCGTTACGCGAGAACATTGAAATAATCTTATAACAACTTTAGGGATATATGGAATTTTATTATAATATTTCTATGATTTTTTGTGTTATTTGTTTGTTCGTATTAATTTTTTTTGTTTTAATTGCCACATTATTACAAATAAACCATATAAGTTCTTTAAAAAATTCTTTTCAGAAGGGTTGAAAAAATTGAAGCTTAGGTCCTGGGGAGGAAGCGCAGCAGCAACAGAATATGGCATAATTTATCGCTCAGGCCGTACCAATTATTAATTAAACTGGATAATGAACAAACAATATTCGATATGACGCGCCAAAAATAAATTAAAGATGATATAAACCATATAATTTTAATTTCTTATTTGTACTTTTACCTCACAAGTGGTAAACAAATTTATACTGTTAACCAGTGGAATTAACGAGGTTGATAATGCTAGAAAAATAAAATTTTATTTGCAGAAAAATCATAATTTTTTTTCTAAATTAGTTTTGCGCAATATTTTAAAATTAAAAAAGAACTTTTTTAGAACTTATTTAAACTTCTGAAATTTCTAGAAAAATTTCTATTCCACAGGAATCCTTCAAAAAGATATCTTATTTAATTTTTTGTAATAAATTATCCAACTGAATAGCCTTTGACATGTTGCCTTTTATTTTAAGTCGTTCTGACATAAATGCTTCTGCTGCGCTAATATCGTTATTAAATAATTTTTGGAAATCATTTATATTTAATTCAAACTGAACATCACTTTGATCTGCAATTCCTTCTCGAATCGTTCCATCTCCATTTTTCAGATCGAAGTATAAATGCAAATCATCGGTTTCTAAAAATCCTTTCCAATAACCTGTTATTATCACCTGTTATATCCGAAATGTATTATTCTTCTTAAATTTTCAAAAAAAAAATGATCCACAGTTCGTTAATTAAAAATTACAAAAATGTGGAAAATTGGATTTTTTAATTGAACTTTTCGATTGAAGTAAGTTAAGGCTTGTTTTTTCCTATAATACGAATGGTTATGTACAAATGGACCTGATTTCAAGTGGAACTGATAAATCGCGTTAACTTTTCGAACGATTTCTGAATTAATTAATTTCCGAGCATTAATAAGCACTTGTTCGATGTCCATTGAGTTATCATTCAATTCCTCATCATTTTTTCGTTTATTAGCTTTCACAGAAAATTTGTCTTTGGGAAGGAAGAAGTCGAGTGTGAGCTTTGAATCTATTAATTTTTATCGAAAATCAAAATTTAAAGGCTTATTTGAATGAAAAAATAGATGAAATAAGCGTTTTTCTAAACACAAGGCAAAATTAATAAGCCAGATTTTGAAAAATTTAACATTGGAAAAATAAATTCAACACTATATTCAGCAAATTAAAGAATCAAGGGATAGAATCAAGAGCCGATCCCTTGATAGGAATAAAAAATTGAACTATTAAAATTGAAATGAGATAGGCGTTGACCCATCTTTCCTTATTGTATGGCACAGTGGTTAGTAGAACCAGCCAAGCCAGAGATGGTGGAGCTGTACGATAGTGTGAAGAAGAAGAAATGATTAATTAAACTGACTAGAATCAACCGCATATTTATCGAAATCTCGAATGCCTTCTTCGCTTAAGATTTCGTCATCAATAGCAAAATTTCCCGTATATTCATCACTGTTCCGTGATAAAATGGAATAAGCTGCATCAGCCATTATTTCAGCTTTTCGACAGCCCTGAAATTCGCTCAAGAAATTATAGCTCTTGCAGATTTTTTAAAAACCAGCTTGAATCAGCTTGAAATCTCTTTTTTCTCCAAAAATCATTAAAAAAGAAAAAATGCGTTACTTTTTGACCCATACCACTTGATAACATATCCATTGCCGCAGTCCAGATAGCCGTTCTCGGCCAAAGCGAATTCACCGCTATACCAAATGGTCGTAATTCTTCATGCATTCCCAAAACGCACATTGACATACCATATTTTGCAATTGTATATGCTAAAATTTTAGTCGAATATGGTTTAGACAATTGTCTTACGAGGCGTGAGTTCAGTTTGTTCCAATTCGAAAGGAGAGATCAGTTGTTATTTAAAAATCCGAGCAAAACTGGTAAGCAACCTGTCACCAAGTTACTCGCTGTAAAATATTTCTAACCGTACCAACAACCTAATCAGGAATAGGCACTTTCTTGTACCAATAAAAACACCCACAGTTTTTTTAAAATTACATAAGTTTTATAATATTTATAGTAAATTTTTCACCTAAATGATTGGCGAACCAATGTTTTTCCATAACAAGCGGTGGACTTATATTTAAAATATGTGGATTTTTCCCTTTCTTTAAATACGGTATGCATTTTTGCGATCTGAAATTGCAAGGAGTGACAAATATTCCAAAAAAAGGTTATTAAGGAGTTTAAATGGATGAAACTTAGGTTAAAAGGTAAAAAAAATGAGAGAAATGAAATTTGGAAAAAATGTTGAAAAAGGTAAAATTCTGCCAAAAGATCTTGAAGCGTACACCAGAAAAGTTCCTCTTGTGTTGATTTTATGCATTAAATCGAAATGTTTCATAGATGTCTCCAGTGTTCCTGTTAAAGAAATTGCACTTGCATTGTTAATTAAAATATCAATTCTACCAAATTTTTCAACAGTTGATTTCACTGCATTTTCCACCGATTCCTCATCACGAACGTCCACAGCGCAAGCCAAACCTCGACCACCAACCTGCTTATAAATAATGACGAATGGAACTCATATATCGCAATTATTAAGGAGCCTAAATTATCTTGGAACATCTCTTTCGTCAAATTTCTTCAAATGTATATGTGAACTATTTCTTGTAGAATTGCTCAGTGGGTTGTTGGTCAGTTTGGAGCGCCGATGCTGAGGTTCGATTCCCCGCAGGAGTGAACCTGTATAAAAATCCGGGTAATGCTGGCGACTTACCTGTATTTCTATCGCCAAGGGACTTCCTGGCATATTGCCCAATGAAAATCCAGTGGAGCGAGTTTAATAAGTAATGATGAGGACTTTTTAAAAAAAACCACTAAACCAGCTATATATAAGGAAAATGGCTATTTTAATCGACCATAAACCACAGTCGCCCACTTCATACTTTTCGTTATGCATTCCATACTTGTTAAAAATAAACGAGTATTGTCACTGTTCTATTCAGCCACAAAATCATTTACCTTTACCCTCTGTTTAATTTACTAAGTTTTTATGGACTTAGTTGATTATTTCACACAAAAATTGTAAAACTGCAGGTTCTTCACTTGCAGCGCAATTTTAACAATTGGTTTCGCAAGCAGGTAAAACAACTACTTTACAAATAACAAATAAATCTCAAAAATATCTTAAACCTTTTCGATTTCTTCTACAGCACTGTAAATCGTTCCAGGCAACTTTGGATGTGGTGCAACCGTTTTGGCTGCAACAACAATATTTGCACCATCTTTGGCCAATTTCAAAGCAATTTCTTTTCCGATACCACGAGATGCGCCAGTTATGACAGCTGTTAGCCCAGCAAATTTTCTATAAGAATTTTTCTATATGAAATTATGGTGAATGGCTGATCACTCGCTAATTATTTGTAGTATGGTATTTATGGAATTATGGCGCAAATGAATTTCGGAAGAATTGATGGAAAGATTTGCAATGAAAATAATAGCAGTTTTAAGCCCTAATGAGCTGTGAAGAAAAGTTATGAATGAAAACGACTTACCCAGTATTCAACATCGGCGGAAAATTCAGATTTTGCCTGCTAATAATCAAGAATTTTGCGAAAAACTATGGCGTTGATCTATGACAATTAATTTATTAATTCTAATTTATTAGTTCTCATTAGAGCGACAAATAAATAAATACTAAAAAACATTCAGTGTTAGTAGATTTAAAAAATGCACAAAGACTTATGCAACTTCAGGTTATTTCAACTAATTTTATTTAAGATTTATCAAAGAAAAAATAATTAATAAGACGCTTATAATATTTCGATCTAAAATATAACAAATATATATATATATATAATAATAATTATATAAAATTTCAAATGGGACGATATAAAATTTGACCATTTAATGGAGAATCTCAAAAACTATGAAAAGATGGTATTACATATTCTGAATGAAACCTGAAACATTAATAGACAATGGGAAAAGATCAAACAGAAGCACTATGGCAAAGCAAGATCGTCCATGGGATGTACCATCGACAGATAGCTGAGATGGCTGACATTGACAATCCTACTAGTGGTTGAAAAGGAAAAAGCTGTACTAAAAAAAGGCATTGATCAATCCAGCATGCACTAAACACTAAATGCAGGGATCGACCAAACCAGATGAAAACCTCAAGAGGCATACATATATACTAATACAAGAAATTACCTGCAGACTATACAAAAAATATTCAGAAACTTGGTTTTTTGATATTTTTCTTTTTAGTTCTTCACTAGTGATGCGAAATGGTAAATTTGCCTCGAGTTACGTATTCTTGATTTCTTTTTAGGTATGGACCTCGCAGCATTTTCAAATCATTTTAGGCCAAATGAACAATCGACTCTGAATAAAAAGTGCAGAAAAAGGTGGAAAAATATAAATAATTTAAAATTTTCCACAAGTTTAACCGTATCTTATGACAAATCAACATGGACTGCACGGAAAATTTGAAAAGAACATTTTTTAGGCAAACTTATCGCAAAAAATAGATTGACGCCACACCTTTATTAAATATCATCAAAATGCGCCTTTTCCTTTAACAATGCTGCTTTCACCAAATCATCAGACTGCAACTGAGATTGGTTCCAGGTACGGATGAAATTCATTGAGTCATCTATGTTGTGATTACGCGAATAATTTAGCGTTAATTTCGTTCCTTGAACAGCAATCGGGCTGCGACGTGCTATTTCACGAGCCAAATTTAATGCTCCATTAAGACATTCTTCGGCAGTCGCAAACTGTCGAGAAATAAGACCTGAAACTGAATGATTATCAGAGAATCTCGCATAACTAATGTGTGAGTGGAAGCAGAATGGCTCAGAGGCTCACCTGTTATCACATTTGGGAGCGCCAACGATAAGGATAGGAATAAACCTGACTTTCTAGAATCCGAGTGGCGCTGGCTACCGCGTGTGCTTCTATCGCCTCCCGCAACTTCCTGGCGAAATCCGCCTGGTCCAAAAAAATGGAGCGAGCCTAACCAGAAACGGTCCGAAAAGAAAACAAAATTTCGTCGAGTTACCATATTTCAGCGCCTCTGAAGAGCCAATGTCACGGCCAGTGAAGGCGAGCTCGCGCGTCAGGCTGTCGTTGCCGACAATCCGATTAATTCGATTCAGAATACCGACATCTGCAGCCAAACCAATATGGACCTCCTACAAGAAATCAATTCATAAATTAATTTCGAGAACGAAATGAAATCTTTGAAAAATTAGGATAAAAAGAAAAAACAGAAGGCTTTTCTTGAAAAAGTTTCATTGATGTTTTGAATTTTAACAATATTTTTTTAGGCGAACGATTCGAATTCTTCAAAAATATGGGAAAAGTAAGTAATTGGTTGGTACTTATTGCCTCTGGTTAGGCCAGCTCAACTGACTAAAAATCTTTGCCAGCGTGCCACTTGGGGGCAGAAATACTGCTACTCGCCAGCAGCACCGCTAAAAGCTTACACCTAGCGACAATAAACTGGTTTTTGTTCGCTACTATTCAAGAATTGTTAAAAGATACGCGAATTGAGAAAATAGCATCGGCTGATGCATAACGAATGTCGGCTGCTGTGATTAAACTAACACCAGCCCCGATACAATGGTTATGCACTGCTGCGACAATCGGTTTCGGACACTTCTCCAGAGAAGTAAAACTGTCCTGGCAGACTGCTATCAGATCTCTGATAAGCCTCGATTTCCGAGAAATATCCATGCCTTCATGTTGAACGATATTCGTTAGCTCCTAAATGAAACTGTTTTATCAAAAATTAAATCAAACTTTTAAATAAATTTTTAAAAAATTTTACTAAAAAATATGAGAAAATCCATGTTTAATTATTACAGTTAACGTTCACAAAGGCAGGCGACAATCCACTGAAAGATTAACCAATAAAATTTGTAAATCCGTCGCTGTTCAGTTTAAAAGCCACTTTTCCAGTGCATTTCAAGAAGCCTTTTTAAAATCGTTACTTATACTGTTTATCTAAATTTACATTTTTTGGTTGAGGAAGCAATTAAACTAAACAAACAGTGATTCCTTCTTTAAGGTCGATTCCAGTACAAAATGATTTGCCAGCAGCTGATATCACAATCGAACGACACTTGGAATATGTCGCAAGAAAATCCATCGTCGAACGCAGTTCCCTTTAAAAATCAACACTGTTTGATGGAAATGTGGCTTAGTTTTTTTTTACCCCCAGTTGTAGTGCTTTCAGAAAACTACCAAGTATTTCGCATTTCTCACATCATAGAACATCATTTGAAGGCATTTACGACACCTTACATCTCATTCAGGTAATCATTCCAGCCAATCAAATCAAGTCAGAAATAGTAAATATTAGAAGGGAAAATATCTTAGATCGTTGTCAACTGTTAGAGAATACGTTGTGGTAATAATCGAAAAAAAACCTCCACAAAGGAAGAGTGAAAGCATTTCTACTTTGTGGCCGATTCAAGCGAACGTGGAAGACATTTTTTGATGCCTCGCGAATATCGATAAATTCCGTTCTAGGAAATAGATTCGTTGAGCACTGCCGTTGACCGAAATAAATTATTCGGCCATTGACGAATTTACCATTTGCTATGAACATTCTAAAAGATGTCAAAGCAAAAATTTTTCGAATAAGTTGGAAAGAAACGAGTTATGAGCGCGTAGTGTCGAACGATGCTTTGCCTGAGAGAGCGATTCCTGGTGGAAATCTGTGAAAAAATCGGTCGTCAAAAGTAAAATCCAAGTGGAATTAGATCCACCGCTACACGAAATGACTCATTTGGTTATTAGAATAGAGAATTATAACAATTAGAAGAAGAACCAATCCATGAGTAAGGTGAAATTAGGCATATTTTAAGCAGAGTTTAGGATTTCCATGTAGACATAATCGAAGAAGGAGCATTAACAAAGTAGAAGCAATTAGCCACAAAAAAATTTCGTAGTACGATACGTAGTTGACTCACCACTGCCAATTAATCTCACTTAGTACTGCCAGAGGACTTCTGCAGTGAATCCATTAGTGATTAGTTGGATCGGCAATACCTCCCTTATTTTTAATATCAGGTTTCTAAGGTTCCATCAGAGGAGAGCTTTCAATTCTCAAATTCCAAAACTAGGGTACCAGAATAATTTAAAACCCGCAACCTTTATGTTTCCATTAAAACTCAAAAAACGAAATAGTTAAAACAAATAAAGTATTAAACTGTGATCACTGAAATGTTCAAAGAGCAAAGTATCATTCGTTTGTAATATAAATCAATGAAAATAAAACTTTGTGGAAGTTAAATAGGTTTTTCGAATTTCAAATCATCTTTTAATGCAAAATTTTAAAAAATTTAAATTTAAACTTTAGAATATTTCGAAATTTTTTGTTGAATATATTTGACGGATAAAATTTGTAATTTTAACCAGTAGTCGAGTGATATTGCTTCGGTCCAATTTGATAAACACAGCGGTTTCACTTTTGGTTGATCGGCCTTCCACCGTTTTAGGGATAAATCAGTGTTATTTGTCCCGTGCTCTACTACCATGATGAAAACAATTCAGCATAATTTAATCCATCAGTTTGGTTTGGGAATTTTCATCGGACGTTCGAAACCCACCAATCGTCCAATTTCCACAGACGAGACTAATTTAGTCTTGGAAAATATCAACACTGCCAATCGAGAAAATATCGGCTTTCTTACATGAAATATAATTGAGAAGTTCAACGGATTTCGAAATTTTATGTTTAGAAATTTTAAATTTAGAAAAAAAGTTTAGAAATAGTAAAATTTTAGTTGAGTTAAATAAATTTACGAATTTAAATTTCGAAATGTAGGAATTTTTCGAATGAAAGCAGTTACTTTCCATTCCGAAACCAGTTTGAAATTTATTTTCTTAAAGCAAAAAGGGAAATTTCAATTGAAGAATGCATTCGATTGCCAGTGGATCTAAGCAAATGCAAGTCAAAAACGGTGCATTTTTGCAAGATTTTTCGTATGCATACGTTAAGAAATAATTATCATTTCCCAGGAATTTTAAATCAGGTATCAGGTTGTTTGCATAAAATGATAATTGGGAAAATGGCACTGTAAAAAGAGGAGTATAATTATAAGAGGAGTATCGATGTAGGTGCAATGTAGGTGGATAGTTATTTGTTCAGGTAGCTAATAGTTATTTAGTATTATATGACTTCATTTACGGACATTTCTAATAAAATCGATTTATTTTTACAATTGTCTTTTTTTCAAACAAAAATTAAGATAAATTGTGCGTTAAATTATATAAATTATAAAATGTATATATATATATATAAAGTAATTTATTTAAAATAAATATGTATGTATGTAAAAATATGTATATAAATATTAAATAAGTTTTTTCTCAATTTCTAGTTTATTTTTTACCCTTCCAAAATTTTTTCATCTTGTCATTGTCTTTGACAAGAGTAAAAAGAAAAACTGATATGATTAGACGAGCAGCTTGGAGACGTTCTTACCCTTGCAGCCAGCAGAGCCAGCCTAATCAGTAATAATGAGAGCTGTTAGAAGAAGAAGGAGAAGAGAAACCTTCCAAGAAAAAATTCAGCTGGTACCAGGGAATCCACGTGTATATTCCCAAGTAACTCTATGGTGAAAGAGTCAGATCTTCTTGAGACGATGCCTGATACCCATGATACTCGGTGGTGCATGCGATAAGTAAACTATGGTCAGAAGATCTCAAGGCTTAAGAATATGACGTGTTCGCGAGCTGCTCGAAATCTCTCAAGTGAAATGGCTCTCTTCACACGCGGTATTAGCCATAGCAGGATAGAACGCTTATGGACGTCGCAAGCCAAACAATCACTGTTCATACTTTTTCTAAATACCGTGGATATTGCTTACTTACTGAAGGTAAGTATTCCTCACTTCGAATCTCGGGTGCTATTGCTAAAACTGGCTCAAAGCAGAGATATTGGCTAAATCATGTTTCGGATAACTTGGGGCGAAATGACATTGAGATTATGTGAAAAAGCTCGGTCCTATTTGATTGAAAACCGCTTAACTAGTCAGTCAATGTATATGCTCCAACTTTTAAGCGCAGATGACCGCGATGAGGATATGTTCTATGCGAAATTTTTATAAAATATCTCTAGCGAGAAGTGTTATGGTTATAATCGGAGGAGAATGGAATGCACGCGTAGGTTACGATGCCGCCACGATAAACTCTTGGCATCCGATGCGCCAATGGAGAACGCCTTCTTTGCCGAATAGTATGAGTTATTTGTTACTAATCATGCTTCCAGAATTTGAGCAAACATCTAATCACCTATAACTCTCCGGATAACCAACATTCTCTTGACTTCGACCTTCAATGCAGAACCATAGTAAAGAAATACTAAATTACTCAAAAATACTAAATTTTATTCTTCGTTCGTTTAAGAATAAATCTGAAGGTTTTCTTATCAAAATATATAAAGCATTCGTTCGGCATCTTCAATACTACATAATACTTCCTGAGATACCGCAAATCAAGTAAAATATTGAAAGACTGCAGAAATATGCGTCGCCTCTTTTTTTAGTAGTTTTAATTATAAAACAACTGCCTGGATTTCCTTTCAATTTTTCGAATTAAACAAGATTTAATCTGTACTTATAAAATATCTGTATGGTTATGTTAAGTTAGATTATTCAGAATATTACAATTTTAGGCTAAATTTGAACCCAACAAGATCTAATGGGTTAAAATAATTTCTAAAACCTAATATATATAAATATAAACTAAAATAAGGATTCATAATTTCTTTATTTGTATTATTAATTACTGAAATAAATTATAGAACGATGTAAATTGTGCGTCATCCTTAGCTATTTCTAAAAAAAGATTAGATAATATTATTTATGATATCATTTAAAAAGTTCACATTATGCAGAAAGTTTGAAATTTTTTTTGATTTTTCTTCGTTCTTGATTTTTAACCATTCAATTATAATTAAGTAATGCATTCACTTCGACTATACTATTTTGTAACTCCTCTTTATTTCCTTTTTACTTTATTAATTTCTCTTATATTTCCTCTTTTTGTCATTAATTTTAATTAATTTTCATTCTTACTTTAACTACTATTGTTATTAATATTAATATTGATT